GTTGTACACAAACAGTTCTACTAATATACTTTGCCAACCCCAGAGTTATTTATATCAGCCTCGTTTTTTCCTTAGAGACGTATTGTTCTCGAGGAAGCCAAGCGTTAAGAATAATCAGTCAATTATTTTTTGAATTATCACGAAAAAAAGGGGCCTGAATTCAAGCAGTGTTAAAGATCAACAACAATTAAAAACTCCAATTGCTTACTAGAAACCTCCTTTTAAAAGAATGACAACACAAAAGTATAAATTTTGTATTACAGCCAAAGTATCAAAAACTGTTGGTTTTTTTTTCGAGTTGATTTTAAAGGCTTTTCTTCATTTAATTTTAATCAAGCTAACTGCATTCTATATTTGAACAATTAAGATAGTACCCTAACATTATTTTCGTTTATGTGTTTAAAGTTTTAAGTTTCTCTGGCCCGCCTCATAAACTCTTCAGTACACGTCTTAAAGCTTAAAAATAATTTTGTTCAGAGGGCGTTACCTCTTGGGTTCGCAAACGGACAAATATTTGGTTACATTTTTAACTAATGTTCGCAAATCGACAAGTAGCTAAGCTACTTAAGCTCTTGTACAAAGTGTCCAGTGTATAGATCAGTCCCACTCAAAGTGTGAAGTGCGTGCTTTTTGAACGATTCCGGGGCCACAAAGACGCAGCTTCGTTGCTAAAAACCCTTACATTGCGTTTTCTCTGAGACTCAATAATTCTTACTGATCCTTATGTTACAAACTGGCGATACAACCGAGTAGATTAGACAATAAATTTGCCAAGTCATGGTTACCATGGCCTTTAAATTGTATTTTAATGGTTGTAAGAGGCCTTATCATTGAACGTGTCACGGCTTGAAGGGAAATTTGCATGTTAGCAGAAGCGGTTCTTTGGCGGTTTCAAAAGTTGTCTAGGCTACTCATCGTCAGTTTACACGCCCTGATGCCCACATAAAAACCGCCGGCCAGAAAAAAAAACACAAAAACAAAGACTCCAATGTTTGTTTATTTTAAATTTGCAGATCATTCTTTGCAACCAGTCTCCGGCTTGTTTGAGATACTGTACGTTTATTTCAAAATTTGATTCATTTAAGACAGATTGCATGCCGCGGGCGAAATTTCATATTTCGTTTATAATTTCCTGGTTCATCTACCATGACTACAAAAGCTGTTTTTCATTTAATTCATTACTTTTGAAATTAGTTGTAATCACTGATGACACCAATGCGGAAAAAGCATAACCGTGAACTGCCGCCTTTTGTAGTTTCCCACGAAACGATTCTTGACGTACACAAAAATACTTTAATTGACTGTCAACACCCGAAATACGAAAAATCGAATTTGATGTTGTGGTTTCAACTGAGTTATTTTCAATTCATCCTAAAGTCTAGTATAAATAAAACTGGGTTTCGCATGATCAGGAATAGATGAGTTTCGGGTTGACCGCAGTCTTATTACACTAGATCCTGTTGTATATATTGTTTGTCTTTTTATTATATGTAAGTTTGTTCTACTCGTGTCGGTTGTCGAAGCAAAATAAAAACATCCTAAAAGATAGTGAGCAGCGGTTGATTAGTTTGTACTTGGGTCAGCTCTTTTCCGGGGCTCTAGACTTTGGTTACGATGATACAAGTACGTCACTCTAACTCAAAGTGGATGAAATCCTCTGCAGTTACCATTGAAAGGAAACCTTTGTGGAAGAAATTTTACACATTATTATTTATTTGTCAAGATTTTGCAAAATGAAAGTTGATTTTTTTGTTAGATTGTTTTTTGGCTAATATTAGCAGGGAAAGGGTTATATCATGTGAGACGTGTGGTCAGCGGCGTAAGATCTCTCTCGCGCGTGCTCCCTTCGACGGGTCATGTGGCCTTAATGATGTATAAAACCATGAATGACCTTGCTCCGCAGTATGTACGAAGTCTGTTCTCTCAGCGTCACTCTGCTTACAACTTAAGAAACTCTGAGGGAAGGCTGACCCTGTCCAAACCAAGCACCAATTATCTGAAACGAAGCTTCTCTTACAGCGGGGCCTTGTTATGGAATAACTTGTCCAAAGCTTAAAAAATACGGATTTACATACATACATACGCACATACATACATGGAAGAGACTTCGAGAACGAGATTAAAGAGAACGAAAATCTAATTGCTTTGTGTGACCGGCAAAACTTTCTTCGGTGGTAATTATCCCTTGCAATTTCCTCTTTCCTACGCTCTGGTTTTAAATTTTGATTCTGTGAGTTAATTCCTTCAGCGCGACAAACCACGAAATGTTATCTCAACTACAATTCAATCCACTCTGGATAAATAATTCACCCGTGTTCGGTCATGCGCCTAACCATTCGGAATGAAACTTTTTTACACCTCCAAAGGTCTTTCTAAATCAGTATTTACGATTTTTACAATAAGTTACTCTGTGTGACCTTTCAAGTAAAATTAAGCTATTGCGGAGTAGGAATTTTTTTTGTGTGTGTGTGGCTCTTTTCATATTCCAGACGCCGATCTTACTTCCATCCGAACAAAATTTAAAAGAAGAAAACTAATGACGCTCATTTAGCTCAGTCTACCTGCAAAATACGTTATAATATTAGAGTTCAGGGCATAAAAAGTTCGGCGTCTAAATCAAAGCCGTTTCAAAGTCGCTCCGAAACCGGGCGGGAAAAACGACTGAGTCGTTCCAAATTGCTAACTAATTCAGTTGCCGAACTTCCGTTGTACTCTATTCAATGTATTAGGTTCGGTCATGAAAAGTTTTACGTCTGAACCCGATGTTCTGGAAATGTCGACAAGGGAAGATGGTGCTCAGTTTTGAGAAGTCCTTGACTTGTTCGCACGTTTCAAACCTGATTTATGGCTACGATTCCTTTCAGACCATTTGAGTACAGGAAGTCAGAATTTTTTTAACTCAAAGTTCCGCTTTCCTTAGTCAAGGCGGAAAATAAGCAAATACTACAATTTGAGCCTGAGCGAACAAACAAGAACTGATGAGACACGCTTAAAGTCAAGTAATTTTAGATCCACTTACAAAACAAGCCGGAAAAAACTCGATGCATCTTTATCCCTGCAAGTGTGGCAATTTTATAGTGAACAAAACGATTAATAAAACAACTTCTTTTTATTGTCAAACAAAGTGCCCACTTAACAAACAGACGATAAACCGCACTGGTCTTTCAGAAAGGCTTGGAAAAAAATTGGGACGCTATTTTTTTGAGTTTAACAGAAAGGATATGCAGGTTAATCTTCTGAGGGCCATTTTTGCCTGTCAACAGCCCCTTTCTTTTTACTTGTTGTCAGTTCCGAAAATGCATGACCTACTGTCATGAATTGTGCACAGTGTTGAAGAATGCATCTAGGACTGAGTATCGTGTTTTTTTGCACGACACTAGATATTTATTGTTGTTTCGCTATTTTATAGGGAAAAACGGGAACAAGTCAATTCTCACACCCACGAGAAGAAGATTTTGGTTCCCACGCAAAAATACTATGGTGCGAAAGTTCCCTTTGCGCAAATGTTGAAGGTGGGCTATAGATCGGTCCGTTTGCATTAGGGCGTAAGAAGCTAGCTTCTTACGCCCTGGTTTGCATATGCTAGTTGCTGTCAAGATGTTTGTTGCAATTTATGTGCTATACTTGAAATAAATCGCGCATATAAACTATCGGCGCCAGATTTCATGACGATTTGTCTCTACGAAATCACCGTTAATTCGAACGTGGTCGAATTTCTGTGCAAAAAATCAGGGGCACCCAACGACTGTTTTTTTTTTTGTTGCCTCGAATTTTCTATTTCTTCAGGACGGCTACAAATGCCTAGATGATTATTCCACTCACGTACAATTTTCGTACCTTATCTACTATTTCCCTATCGATTATCTTAGGTTTAATTTTTCACATTTCACTTTCCAGGTTAGGCTATTTTCCGTAGAAAAAAAGAAACCTTAAAACTTTGGAGGTTAAAAAATACGATGGAGAGAGGAATGAGAAAAAATTCTCGTGTTGTTAATACGTTTTATGGCATCTACAATTTCGGGAAAATAATCCTGAAGCCCTTTGTAATTTCGGAAACCGACTTAAGTTGCCCTAGGTTAACCGATCAGATACAAATTTTATAGCGCTGCTTGGAATGCATTTCTAGAGATTTAAAAGTACTCTAGATGGCCTTATAAAAAGTGTTTTCAATGCATTTGTCACCCCACTGTCTTTGGGTGCCCCTGAAAAAACTACCTTGGCGTAAGTTATATAAGATGCACCTTACGGTACAAAACTACGGGCCTAAGATTTCAGAGTACTCCGCAATTGAGCAAGGATACTAGACCAAGAGAAACTTCAAAAAAATCCAGGATAGTTGTTTTCGACCTAAATGCGGAAGTGAAGACTTAATTTTCGTTAAATTTCCTGTTTCTATAAATTAACTACGTGTATAAATTGGTAACTAAACTACGTCATTCATGACGTTGAGCATGATCTAGAACAGTGCCGGGGGGAATCATTTGGGGAAAATATTGGGGAGTTTAAGATGTTACGACGCTGACGGCAACGGAAATTTGTGATTTTTTGATTCCGGGGGGAATCATTTGGGGCAAATATTTGGGAGTTTAAGATGTTACGACGCTGACGGCAACGGAAATTTAAAAAAAGCAATAAGATTGTTAAGCAGAACAACAACTCTGCACACGTAAACATCAATTCTGTTCGTCATCACTGCACGACTACGGCATGAAATTCCTTTAGGTGATGGATGTTTTACGATTTGTCCTTTCTCTCTCTTCTTTTGGGAGTGATCCTCATGAATTCAACTCCATGGAAATTCCCCGGCCATTTTTGTACATTTTAAGTGACTTGGAATATTCGCGATAAAGTTTAAATGCGTCTTCATTTTAATAGTGGCCCTTTTCATATTGCCGTCGCTGTTATCGTTGTTGGGCCTCTTTGCGCGAGTAGTAATTAGAAACTTTGTCGTGATCATGAATTAAAAATAGCAAATACAGATTTTCACTGCTAAGTCATAGCGAATACGAAAATAGGCTGCGCGGGTATCTTTTTTTTTTTCAGGAAGCGGGGTTAATTCACTTGATTCAGCACTATATTTGACGGGAAGGGTGAAGGAAGTCGTTATTAGCCTAAGTTTAAGTAAAAAACAGACAATACAGCAAACTACATTTACCATAATGACCGGAGCCGAAGCGCATGTGACACCCACAATGTTTTTGTGTAGGCGTTTGTATTGTTTGTAGAGGCATACTTGGTAGTCAACGCTATCCTGCGTAGCAGGCGCGGGTTCGAAACGCACGTGAAGGTTTCAAATTTCAAACTGTATTGCGTTGCTTGTAGTAGATCCCATAATCCCAGCGGTTGTTACGGAAAAACGTGCGCATTGTTTTAGCAGTTAATAGCGAACTGCGCAAGTAATGGCGGATGAAACATCGTTGTTTTCACTGTTTTGAAGCGCTGTAACCACGCTACTGATAGTTTTTACCTAAATCGTTTGAAAGAACGCTTTTCGTTTGGTTGCGGACGAGATGATGGAGTAATCAACGACGATATTTTCAAATTCCATACAGTTTAAAACACTGAAGATTGCAAACGAATCAAATGTTAATCGTTCCATAAACAATTCGACTTGAACATAAGCACAATGTTTCATAAAGGAGGAGCAGGAAAACAAAGAGGCTTTGGTTTTGGAGGCTTTGCATTGGCAGCTAAGAAGGAACAACCTTTGCCGAGTAATTTGGGTAGAGGAATTCCAGTTTCGAAGCCAGTAGGAAATACGAAGAAAGCCCAGTCCTCAAGCACAGGTCAGAAGGGTGTAACGTCTTTTCCGTTGCCTGGAGCCAGAAAACCGTGAGTATGATAACTGCGTTTAGTGGTTTGAGAACAGTACGTTTTCTGTTGGATATTTGTTACATATGCTGTATCAAGTTAAGGCTGTGCTCTAAGAAAAATTGAAGGGTGCCAAGCATAGGATATCTATGAGAATAGTAATACCCCGTCCACACATATCCAGACATTTTTGAATCCACAACTTTTACTTCCTGGATTCAAAAATTTCCACATCTGCAGGTATCCATCTTCAAATCAAATTTGCCTTTCCACACGTATAGGACACGTATTCGCATGCACTCTAGTTCCCAGGACTCCTCTGGGAATATTGGCAACAGAGCATGCATTGTAAAGCATGCATTTGCCTTTCATGATAAAGAATTGGGGTTGATCTTGTTATATCACTCGACAAAAAGATATCTGGATTTAGCGTCCACACGATTCCGGATTCATGGCGTATTCAAAAATTTCCACTATGGAGTGCGGATTAAAAAAGTGGTGGATTGGCATGCTGGATTCACCGAAAACGTGTGGACAAAAGCCATGTCCAGAAAGAACTAGCTGCAGTTTAAAAATATCCAGATACATGTGGACCAGGCTTTAAGATTTCCTAGTTGCCCAATAGTGAAAGTAACAAGGTACCAAGGGCGATCTGGCGTTGCTAAAGCACAACCCTGCAAAGTAAGGGATAAAGAGTGATGTAGGTGACTTACCAGCAAATTAATATATATTTTTATCAGCGGCAGGATGGATGGAGAAATAAAATATAGGTGGAGGATAATGTGCAGCTGAGTACAGGTTTTCAAATTTTTGGTTCAGTCTACAGCCAGCAAATTGAAAGTGTTACTTGCTGACTTCTTATTCTTACTAATTTTTGCACTTGTCCAAAGAAAATATCCCATCTGCAGTAAGGCATGATCACTGGACAGATCAAGTAATTGAGACTATTATTCTGTGGCTGAAGATTTATTTTGCATAGTAGTGAAAGAAACTTAAAGTCATCATAATGTATCTGTGCATGTTACAGGTTAAAAGTATATTCAGGTTATTATACTACTACATGAGAAATTTCTGTAATTTGATTGGCTTAGAGCAGTGGTATTTCAACTTAATTTGAAATACCTGCATGTGAAAATTACAAATTTTTTAATTAGGTTGTTTCTCAATTTCCTTTGTCTCCTAGCCCTAATTTCTGTATAATTAGGCCTCGAAAATGAAGGAAATAGAAAATCAACCAACAATCTCAGACAAAAACCTTCAAACACTTTGGAAAATTTTGCTCCCTTTCGTACCCCCCCCCCCTCCCTTTTGCAATGTTGTTGTAGCCATGTAACTTTACAATCACATCTCAACATTGCAGAGGGAAAGGGGTGTGCATAGGTGTTTCAAGGATTTTTGGTGAGGATTGTGGGTTTAAAAATTTTAACCTGAACTTAATATTGACTTGTAACATCTCTCTAATAACTTTGCTGGTGTTTGTTACTGGAGCAGTGACTGTTGTTTTTTTTAAAGAGATTAGAAATTATTAGGGAGCATAAAATCCAAGATGGTGATGTCAACAAAAATGTCAAATGTGAATTCATGGTCTTTCAATCTTCATCACAATTATTATTTCAACTCACTTACTTTGTGAAATGTAGGTGAATTCCCCTGGAATTGAAATCGTAAGAACTATGTCCAAGTTCAGAAAGGGACAGAAAATTTCATTGTGGCTTATACACATCCTCCATAAAATGTGAAATTAGGCATCTTCATATTGTAATAGTGCAGTGATGGCATAGACAAAAGCAAAAAAGTGTGTTACCTGTGCAAAGTGGTTGATTTCCCTATCAAACCTACAGTATTGTTTTTCAGCATTCTCATTGCCTTGCCATTGCCTGATCGTAAGGTTTCTTATAATTTGGAGGGTTGGGATTTATTATAGGAAGGTGCGCTGACTTCCATTTATGTTAAAATGCATTATATGATTTGCAGGGTCTTTGTGGATAGTGACAATGAAGATGATGAATCAAAGTTTATTGATGATGAGGATAAAGATGAATCTGGACCATCCTATCCGCACGTAGCAGATGATGGTGATGATGAAGAAGATGAGTTGGATAAATTTATGGCCGGAATTGAGGTATTATAAAGGAAAACTGGCAAGACTCTTTTAAGTGTATAAAGGAATCCATCCATTTCATGACACTCAATCAACTTGAGTCACAGCGAGTGAGCAATCAGAGAAGGAAACAAGAGAACGTTGTTGTGACATACTGGTATCAGGCTTCTACCCTGAATTAATGGATTGAATGTAGTGCTCAGTCCCTTATCTAGCTGTGCCTGATTATGCTCTTAAGAGCTGGTAGCTGGGGATTTAGTAATAATTTATTAGAATAATTAGAGTAAATTTTAAATAATGTATGATTTACTTATGATTTATAATAATTATTATAAATATATTATAATTATTATGGCTCTCTGAGTGTCACTAAATTTTAAAGAACACTTATAATAATAATAAAAATTATTATGATAATCATTCACAATATACTTATCTGTGTTAGAGCAATATATTATAGCTAATACTAGACTCTTCTGGGCTGGCCAAGAATCACACAGGAATGTAAAGCTGAATGATACAATACTAGCTTCTGTACAGCTGTAACATTAAAAGTTGTTACTGTAATGCCATGATAATTGTACATTATTTTGTACTTTTCAGCATGAGGTCCGAAAAGAGGCAAGTATGTCTGAGAAGGAAAAAAGTGAAAAAGAAAAGAAAAAGTAAATAATGTTACTGTATTTTGTTACTGTATTTGTTACATGCTTGGTTTTATTGTATAAGAATCCAATGATTAGAGTTTACTTTTGCATTAGTGAAGAATACAGCTAGAAAAAGTAAATTTTCAATGAATTTAAGGTATGCTTGTCATTTTTTCTTTTGCATCCAACTTCTGGGCAGAGCTGCACTAATAGTTGGTTGTTTAGTTTTGTTTAATTCTCACTTTTGATGGTTATTCTGTAGCCTGTATTATGGTCAAATGAATGCATTACTGTACCATTTTATTTTGGTTCTGATCAGGATTCGAAGAGATGATATTGAGGATGAGGATGATCAGGAATCTTATTACAACTACATGAAAAATGCTCCTGTAGTTGCCTATCCTGATGATGAGGAAGAACTTGAATATGACAGTGATGGCAATCCTATTGCTCCAGAAAAATCAAAGGTGAGTGAGTCAATTCAGTACACTTACTAGGAAAAGGACTTGGTTTCATCTAGTTCAATCTTTAAGGATTATAAGCAACTTGAAATCAGTTTATCGCATGGCCAGGAAAAAGGTCACATTAAGACTGGCACACAGGGCTCAAAAAAAGTAGATTTTCTTGCTGGTCAAGTAACTGATCAAGAGTGATCCTTGGCCAGCAAAATGTGACAGCTGCTTGCCCAAAGGACAATCTGGAATTCAAGTTCTGTTCGACCCCTGGGAAGGAGTTTTATCTAGGAACTTATGTCCTTAAATTTATCATGCAGGTGTACCTGAACCTGTTCTAGATGTAACAAAGTTAAATTTCTAACCCCATCTTAAAAATAATGCAAAACAGGTATGCTACTCCACATACATTTCAGTAGAAGATGCAAGAGGATATGTAATTATGAGTGCTTACCAAAAGACAGAATTGGCCAGCTTAACAGGTTATTTTGAAGGTTAACTGGGCTTTTCTCATGAGTTTTTGGTATAAAAGGGTTTCTGATAGGGTGTAACAAAAAAATTAAAATTTGTTAGACTTTGGGGGCAAATAAAATAATATTCATTGTGGGAAAACATTTGCACAGTAATTGTTCAATTACTTGATTTGTGGCTTAATGTAATGTAGGCAAGCTTAAACATGAGACCATAATGGCCAGCATTGTCCATCACTAATCATATTGGGTTGCTCTTTGGGCATTTGTAGGGCTATGGTAATTTTACAATACTTTTGCTGAGGTCAATCATTTTGCTCGGGTTGCCTTCGGGTGTATTTGTTTCACAATGAATGCTAACTACATGGTTACATGAAGTACCGGTAGTTTTCAATTTAACTCTTTCTTTCTTTCTTTCTTTTTTTTTAGATAATTGTACCTCTCCCGGCTGTGGATCACTTTGAGGTATTTTTTCTGTAAATGTAGCTGTTGTGGGTAAAATCCATTCTTAGATGAATCCAGAATTCAATCTAGTTTTTTCTAGCCACAATTTTTGTTAGGAGACAAAGGCTTGATTGAAACACTGGATTATCTGAATCCATTTTAGGTGATAAGAATACATGTAAATATGCTTATTGTGTTGTGAGGACACTTGATGGATATTTGCTTTGTATTGTAAATGCTATTATCTGATAAATAAGACAAGGAATAATAATTCAGTTTTTTCATTAAGAATTCTAGTAGCAGGAAAAAGGTGTAACGTTGCAGGAGAATATTTTGAAAGAGGCTCCATGTCTGAATAAAAAAATAGCCATAAGGCTACTGAACGTTTGCAGGAGAATTCTGTGTAGTAAACGGAGTATTCTTTGATCTCTGATACGACAACAACAACAACAAGAATTACAGTCAAACCACCCAAATACATACACAAAGAGACAGAGACAGTTATTACTGTTCTCATTACAGAGGTGTCCGTATTATAAAGCAGGAAAAAAAATTGTATGCAGTTTTGTATGTTTGGGACCAAAACAAATGTCTGCAATAGGGAGGAGTCCACCGGCTGGTCATTAGTATAGCAGCAAACTGCAGAAAAATCAGCTGGCTACTTTTAGTTGGAAAATGAGTCAAATAAAGCAAAACAATTTAGGAGGATTTGTTGGATAAATGACCTGCTAATTCCCTGAGAGACCAGCCAACTTCCGTATTGTGGAGTTGTTTGTATGGAGAGCTTCGACTGTCAACTCAGAGTATATCCAGTCTTCTCTATTGATTTTGTCGGGGTTCGTACGTGTCTTGAAAACCCTTAAAAACTCTTGAATTTTAAGAGTCCTTTTTCAAGGCCTTGAAAGTCCTTGAAATTCTCTGTCGTTCATTTTGGTTCTTGAAAGTCCTTGAAGTTTTAATCAAAGAACATTTGATAAGAAGCATCATCACTATAATTGTCTTGTTCAGTACGGAAGGTAATTCTTTGATAAGTACTCACAAACGAATTTTCATAAAAAAAATGGTTGCCATTACTACCAGAATACTTTTATAGTTTGTTTGGAACCTGTGTTAAAAGTAATAAATTTAAAAATGTGTCCTTGAAAAGTCCTTGAATTTTACGGCAGAAAAAGTGTACAAACCCTGTCTTGTGAATGGTCTTTTTCTATTTTCATTTGTTGCAGATTGACTACCCCCAATTTGAGAAAAACTTTTACATTGAACATGAAGAAATTTCAAAACTTACAGCCCATGAGGTTCAAGAATTGAGGAAGAAGTTGGCAGTCAAGGTAACTTTTGAACCTTCTATGCAATGCATGGCAGCCTGTACACTTCAATTTAATGAATGATTTCTGATGTTTATTCACCCCATTATTTTATATCAACAACAAATTTTTTTAAACTATGCTAGCTACATACAACAAAAGCTGATTTCTAGGTGGGGCATAGGAAACACACATGTCAAAAAATAGAAACAATATAGGTAGTGCATGCAAATACATGTATAGTCGCAGAGTAATTTGAATTAAATTTCTATAGCTCAAGCTTTTACCATAATGTTTCTCTTCATGAACTATGGAGGAGTTTGAGAAACTGTCTTGATTTTCTTGTACTTATTGGTGCTGTTTCTTTGATTGGCAGGTTTCTGGAGCGTTGCCTGTGCGGCCGTCCATCAGTTTTGCACATTTTGGTTTTGATGAGCAACTTATGGGTGCAATCAGAAAACTGGAGTACACACAACCTACACCAATCCAGTGTCAGGTATTAAACCCTCATTGTCAAACAAGTATGCTGCCGACTTTCCTGTGATGTTGCAAGTCCAATGCTCTAACCACTCCACCACACTGCACACTGTGTTCTTCAGTATAAATAACCGTACCGTAAAAAGTATAAATAACCGTAGTGAAAAAAGGTAAAATTAAGCTTTCCGGGCCGTCTTTTTTTTTTAGAACACGCGCAAAAACTTTAAGTTAAATCTCGTACTCGTATTCGTTCTCGTCCTGAAATCTAAAACTCTCTAATGTCGGCTGTTTCCTCACGTTAGTCGCTGAATGTATGTCGATAGCAATCTGCGTCTTCTGATTTCAGGCAATTCCCGTAGCACTGAGTGGACGAGACATCATCGGCATTGCTAAAACAGGTTCTGGTAAAACAGCGGCATTTCTATGGCCAGCACTAGTACATATTATGGACCAGCCAGAGCTGGAGCAAGGTGATGGTCCCATTGCACTCATATGCGCCCCTACAAGAGAACTTTGTCAACAGATCTTTATAGAGGCACGACGGTTTGGTAAAGTGTATAACATTCATGCCGTGGCTGTCTTTGGTGGGGGAAACAAGTATGAGCAATCAAAAGCCCTTCAGGAAGGGGCTGAAATTGTTGTTGCTACTCCGGTAAGAAAACAGTCTTTTTGTTACTACTCTGTGGAGTGGGGGGAGGGGATGATTCTTCAAGCATCCTGTCTCTTAGACTCCAGAGTATCCCCCTACCCCCGGGATCTTATGTCTGACTATTTTGATACGAAGTTAGTTTTAAAAGGATTGCAACTGTTTGCTAACTGTAATATTGTATATGCTGAAGCACCTCACCTTGTCATCTTTAGGGACGTTTGATAGATCATGTGAAGGCAAAGAGCACAAATCTTCAAAGGGTGACGTACCTGGTATTTGACGAAGCAGACAGAATGTTTGACATGGGATTTGGTATGCGTGTTAACAATGATTGGTGAATCTCTTTTCTGTGAGTTTTTCTGTAAATAAAATTACTTAAATGATATTTGATTCTCTTCTTTGTTTTTTGATCAGAGCCCCAAGTGAGATCTATTGCAAGTAATGTTCGTCCTGACAGACAAAGTAAGGGTTTGGCTGAACTCTAAACTCATGTCAAGAAAAGACTTTCTTAGCGATTTGGGTACCAGAGGTTTTTTCTCGCGTGCGACGAGGAGCTTCGTCAGCCACAGGCCGACACGTCTTCGGCGGAAGCCGCGAGAAGAAACCTCTGGTTACTTTATAACCTGGTAACGCAGACCTCTTTTCGGGTGAAGAGAAGGGACGACCGGAGATACGTCTGCTTTCGCAGGCTAGTCACTATAAAGACTTGACAGTAAAACTTAACCAAAACTGGAAACCGCGTATGAAGAGCCTCTGGCATCCAGAGTAACTAAGCGAAGGAAGAGGTACTTATTCACACGTGATTCACAGCATAAATCACGTGACAAAACGTCGAACTCCATCACTTGATGAAGATTCCGTGATGGTATCTAAAGTTGGTCAGGGGGTGTGCTGAAAAGTTTTCTGCCCTGGAATTTTAAACCTCATCTATGCTAGATATCTTTCTTATTTGTTTGTAATTTCTTGTTTAAAAGTAAATCATTTACATAAACGTGTAAAAGAAGGACATCCAGTGTTAAAATTCGACGTTTCTCTTTAGGCTGAATTTTGTGTTGTTCAAATTTTCGTTTGTGCATTCTTTGTCTTAAACTCCTTTAATATCGTGTTGTGGCCGGGTATTATTCAGTGAGAGCCGTGAGGATGCCCATTTAACATGTCTCTTTGTTTCTGCTGTTTTTTTTTTTTTTACCTCGAGGAAGTAATTAAAATACTCTCTTTACAGCTCTACTCTTTAGTGCGACATTTAAGAAGAAAGTTGAGATGCTTTGTCGCGATATTTTGACTGATCCAATTAGAGTTGTTGTGGGTGAACTTGGTGAGGTAAGAACTAGTTCCCTTCCAGCTAAAAATCTGCCTTAATTATTTGAGTAGTACAATTATGAAATTATTACCAAAGTAAGCTATTTCAGTCGAAACTGTTCTCATATTTTTCTAATTCTTTTTAGTGTTCGAAGTTTGCCAACCACGGACTTAGCCTTTTATCGAAGACTGTCTTTTAGTCCTGGCATTTGCTGCAACGATTTCCATTTTTTCTTTGAAATGATAAGTCTTGTTTCCTAGTCTCATGTAATGTTTACCTACAGGCAAATGAAGACGTTCAGCAGATTGTTGAGATATTACCAGCTGCGTCTAATAAATGGCCATGGCTTACAAGTCATTTGGTTTCATTCACATCAGGTACGGAGACGGCAGGACTGGGTTCAAACTGTCTTATTGTGATTTTTCAGTTTTCTTTTTTTTTTTTCATTTTTTTTGATAAATTCTGGTTTTCTGTCAAACCATTCTCCGGGAAGGACATTTCCCATAATCACAGATAAGGAGAAGACAGACTTTTTATCTACTGACACTTTTCTGAGTTTTCAATGTAAACCCGATCCGTACGAAATTCGTCTCAAAAATTGAAGAAATTCAGTGCCGTGTGCCGCCAATTTGGAACAAGTCATGCATGATGATGTCTATCATTTCGTCAAATATCAAATTGCGGGAGGCTCCAATGGCGGGAAAGTTTGGCGTTGTTGCCACGTTCCCAACACAGGGTCATATTTTTATTTGTGATTAGATAAATTAATGTTCTGTCCACAGTGACCCTCTCTCTCAAATAACGGAAAAAAACAAACAACAAGTGCTTGCCTTTTTATCCCAAGGCGTGCTGCAATTTAAATGGCTGACATGCATTTTGAAAAGTTGTAGACGTTTATTGCCAAATTGTATCAATAACCTTTTTAGATACCATTTTCAACTCAGCCACAAAATGCTTTTATAAGCTGAATCAAACGAAATACGTTATGAACCCATGAGAATATTGGCCAATTTTTTTTTTGTAGAGACAAATTATTCAATTCATTTGCCTGAGAAAAGAGCCGACATTTCGCGAAGCCATCACTGGTTTCCCCGCGAACTTCGATGATGCCTGAGGAACGAACCCAGAAATTTCATACTGATGACGTGTCAGTACCCAGATCTCGGTAGTGCTTTTGATTGGTTGAGGCAAATGTCCCCCCTGGCACGACCAATCAGAGCACCTACCAGATCTAGGTAGTGACACGTCATCAGTATGGAATTTCTGCGCTCTTTCTTCAGACTTGATAAAATCAGAGGTAGTGTCGCGAAATGTTAACTCTTTTCTTAGGCTAGCACTCTATAGAAATTCAGTATTTGTGATTCTGTTTTCTTTTTGTTTCTTTCAGCTGGCAGTGTCCTCATCTTTGTAACCAAGAAGGCAGATAGCGAAGAGCTTGCAGCAAAATTGAAGACTAAAGATTTTGACGGTAAGCGGCAATGTGCAAGAAAGTGGTTAATTAAAGCTAATAAGCGGCTGTTTCCTGTAAAAAGGCAGTTGTTTGAGTTAAAATAAGTAGGTGCGAAGATGATGTCAGTAAATCAGTTTACCTTTTGAGTTTGGATTGTTGCTTGTCGATATTGGAAAATTTTCTTTCAACCATACCGTGAACTTTCGCTTATAAGAATTCCTCCTTGCGAATCGTCCTCCAGTGGCGATGGGCGAGGAGAAACGTCTGTTTTCGCGGGCCATCAATCTGCAAACCAAAAGAAAACATACGATTAAAAGCCCCCCTCAAACTTGTAAAGGAATGAATTCGATTTATTACGACGTTTTGAAGCTTAATTAAAAACCAGTAAAGTGTAAAACGCTTTGTGATCAGCACTGCTATAACTTGTTTCGATGCTCTTTTTTTCGTTTCGGTTATCCTTTAATACACGAACGGTCGAGTACTTTATATGATGCTTAATCATTATTTTTTGTTCGCGCATTTAGTTTTGTTGTTGCACGGAGACATGGACCAGTTTGAAAGAAACAAAGTCATCAACGCTTTCAAGAGACAGGAGGTTCCAGTCTTAGTAGCAACCGATGTAGCAGGTAGGATGCGTAGCCAGTTATTTTACCCACAGAGAAGTTTATTTTCACACACTGCACTTGCACTTTTTATTTGAGTGCCAATGTATTTAGCACGAAAGTGCTAATTGGGGACACTATTTTTACGTCTCCTAATGGAGACGGGGCCGCCATTTTACGGATGAGCCAGCCAAAGTTTCATTTTACCCACATTTTAAGACCCTTAGTAATGGTCCGGCCTCGGGAATCGAACCCGCCACCTCCCGCTCTGCAGTCAAACGCTCTACCGACTGAGCTAATCCTGCCACTATTAGTCGGTTCTTAATTTTACAACTGTTAATGGGGACCTTAAACAACTAGAATGTTGACATCCTGGGTCCGGTTCCTGGAAGGCTGATTAGCGCTAATCCAGCGTTAAGATTTTGTTCCAATTTTTGTATTTACCTTCCTATGCATTACTTAGACAAACATTTTATGTAAATCATTACTGTTTCTCAGAGTAAAGGCTAAAAGGTATTTTGTAAGCTTGAGTTAGATGTTCTTCGGTTAATCCTGGATTAAACTTCACCATCTTTCTAGGATCCGGGCCCTGGAGGTCAAAAATGGCAACCGCAAGCTTATGTTTTCTCTCTTTCAGTGCTTTGGCTCGACAAATTTGTACAGTGGGAGTTAATACAAAAGGCATTCAGATACGTTGTGCGGGACAAAAACCTTTATCAAGCGAAACGTCGAACTTCCAGTTGCTAGTCAGCGTTCTCGTTGCTTAAGCTTGCTAATATTCCATGTATGCTCCATTTTCAGCTCGTGGATTGGACATCCCGTCAATCAAAACGGTCATAAACTATGATGTAGCACGTGATATTCACACGCACACGCACCGGATTGGTCGAACCGGAAGAGCGGGTAATGACTTGTTACATTCACCCATAGAGTAAATAGGAGACATGAAATGCTAATTCTAAATTTTTAGTTTGTTGTTAAAATCTTATAAGGTGTGAACGTAAGAACCTCTGTATGAAAGAACCCCTTAACGTGAGAACCCTGGAACGTAAGAACCCGTGAAGAGTGCCTGAAGGTAAGAACTCGTGGACATAACAACCCCTGAACGTGAGAAGCCCTGAACCTAACAACACCTGAATTTAAGAACCCCTGAACCTAAGAATCCCTGAACGTAAGAAGCCATAAACGTTAGAATCCCTGTAGCGGGGTTTTGCTCATTGATTTTGTCTTTTCTTGTCTAGGTGAGAAGGGCGTGGCTTACACCCTTATTACACCAGCGGATCAGAACTTTTCAGGAGATCTCGTGCGGAATTTGGTGAGTTCGTATGTGTAATCAAATGATCACGAGTGAAATTAGGGAAAAATTTCACGCGCGTTTTGTCCAAATCCTAATAATTTCCCGAGCCTTCAGGCGAGGGAAATTATTAGGATTTGGACAAAACGCAAGTGAAATTATTCCCTAATTTCACGAGTATACCATTTGATTACCTATTAATATCATGGGTGACGAATTACGTTAGCAATCTTGGATTTTTGACATGTTTATCCTGGATCGTATCGATGGAGAACTCCACTCTCTCAAATGTTAGACCTTAAATTTGGCATATAAAGTTCAGAATTTTTCAGAGTTTTTCCGCAAAATACCTGTTAGAATCCTTCTTGATGTTCTCTTGTGTGTTCAGGTTTTCTAAAGCGTCTTTTTGTGCCCTGACATTCATTCACGGCATTTTAAAACTTCGTCGCCATCTTGACACTGAGACGTACGGAATGGTTGCCATGGCAATTTTGTAAGTTCACATGTGAAATTACAAATTAACGCTGAAATTTCGCGCCAAAATTAAGGAGTAATTAGTCACCTATGATATTATAATAATAATAATTAGGTACCGTATAAAGTAATTACTCTACGTTGCACTGCTTACCTCCTCCTCCAATGACCTCATAGTCGGCCAGACGGAGCAGTCTCTCCTTATTTCCCCCATCTCTGGCCATCCCCTGCACGTGTAAATTCCGCGGTCCTCTTTATATTTGACATACCATTTTCGTTAGTGGCTTTTTACTTTTCCCTGTAGTCATTTCATGTGACCATTTTTGTCAGGAAGGTCAAGAAGTTCCCTAGAATCTAGCATGTTCCTTTAGATCTAGTATCGTTATAAGGTAATCGGTCTGTGTGGTAAGTAAAACCATACACTGTTGGTGTTGAATTCTTTTGGGAGCTTAAACAATCTAATTTTTTTCTTCTTTAGGAAGGCGCTAATCAAGTAGTGCCAGACGCTTTGATGGAAATGGCCATGAAGGTTTGTACTTCATGTAACTGTTATTGAACAAAAGCCGTTTCTTTCCGACTGCCTGCGCGTTTCAAATCATCAAATTCAGTGTTGTTCTCTTCCTGTTTACAGAATTCGTGGTTCCGCAAATCTCGTTTCCAACACGGAAAAGGAAAGGCCAGCGGCAGAGAAGGAAGACCGCGCATGCGTGAAAGACCCGGCTTAGGAATGCACGGATCATCCGTAAGTTGTCACAATTATTGAAAAAAGCTTTGCGAAGTGGAACAATAAAGTAAATAGTCAACTGTTGAATATATGAGAGGACGCTATGCTCTATAAAAAGAACGGAATATCTTAGAGGAGGTCTCCATCACGGCTGACGGTTATTTGACATCTTTAAGAAATGACTTGTTTTGTCGTTGGATAGGGTTTGAACAAAATATAAAATGTTTCAACAAGCAACTCCCTCAAAATTACAATTGGGGCTATGAACTTCTTAAGAAACAGCTTAGCTTCCCGCAAGCGGCCCCATAAAATGTGAAGATTTGGTAGTCGCTTAGGAGTGATTGGCATTTAACTTCTCAATATTCAAGCAGAATACATTGTTCATCAGAATGGTTATGTGAATAGGCAAATGTATCAGCTAGAAGGTGTTATGATGTAACCCCAAATTCTCTTAACTAATGTACAAGGAAATGTCTTGCCCGCCAGGAAGGAGAATCACGGATCAGTTTCATATATAGATAAAGGGTGAAGCCTCATTTCCATATAATCATGCAGATCGTATCCAGTCGATAGCTCGTCAGCAGTTTAAAAATGTGTTGATGCGATCACACATGGAGGTTCGACTATTTTCACATTCATATTTTTTGTTGATTGATGGACCCAAAGCAAAAATGGTTGCTGGATTAATATTCTTTTGTTTAAATTAAAATTAACCTGACTAGCCTCGCTTAAAATAATGTATTCTTTAGAATTTGTCCTGAAGAACGAGGCTGGTCAGGCTAATTTTAATTTAAACAAAAGAATGTTAATTCAGCAGCCATTTTTGCATTGGGTCTATTGTGCTTTTAGTAAAGTATCTCCATCTGCACAGGAAACCCAGGTCAGTGACAGCAGAGGCGCACAGCACTCCACTCCAAACTCGTCGTCCTCTCCATACTCGTCATCTGTGTCATCATCATCGTCTCGTGGAGTGTTCGGTTCATCGGCGATGAATGATCGTACGTCAGCTCTCAAGGCAGCTTTCCAGGTAAAACATTTTAAAATTTGAACTTCTGGGTCCAGTTATTCGAAGATCGAATAGCGCTAACCTTGGGTTAAATTTTAATGCGGGTTTTTGTTTCTTTTATGCAAAAGCATTTTCTCGGATAATTTTCTCTATTCATTCTCTAGCATCCGACCATCAAATTGTAGACTAAACGACTTAAACTTAATTTTCTTTTTAAGCTTTCTTATCTGAAATCAAATTTTGCACTAACCTTAGGTTATCTTAAAACAGCTTTGAACAACCCGGCCCTGAACAATGATCCAAGGTATAAAACTGTTTCTTGTCATCTGTTGCAACGTATGACAAGGATGAACATGGATTGAAACTTTAACAAGCTGGGCTAACTTTTTCAATGGCAGAAATCACCAACAAAATTATTATAGTTAGTGTTCCCTGATGCGTTTGTCTTTTATTCATCAGGCTCAGTACAAGTCTCACTTCCGCGCTGCCTCTTCGTCCGCTTCCAACACTTGGGACGCTCAAAGTCATCATAGTACTGCTAAGCCGCCTGAACAGACTAAACAAACAAAATCCACAAAACCACCCGTGAAAAAATCCCGCTGGGAGCCCGCTTAGGAACGCGACTTCGAAGTGCGTAGAAGCATGTGTTGATTAGAAGCCTAGAGCGCTTACCATTTGTATGGGAAACCCAATAATTCCGGAAAAAATCCAAATGGAACTGTTCATTCCGGAGGAAATTTTTGGAAAAAAGGTAACACCTTCGCAGACCGAAATTTTCTGTACCTTTTTTGTGGATTACCAGTGCAAGGCTTCCTCACGAATTTACCCGTATTTTGTAAATGGTACAACTCAGAGATCTTCCTAAAAAGAAATTTAGGAAAGTACTTCACAGATTGCTTTCGGATATCTTAAAAAGAGAAGATGACTATATTGAGACGCCCTTAATAGTTGAAAAAGTTCGATTAATAGTTTAGTGATTTCTGTATTAAAGTATTTGTTTGTTTGCTTGTTCAGATTTAATGTAATTAAAATAAAACTGTGATAGAATATTATTTATTGTAACTTAAAATTGTAGTTTTCCTTCCTTTTTCCTTTCCTTTCTTTTCCTTTCAATTTATTTTTCTTTTAACTGGTCCGCCTAGATTAGCAATTGCTATTTTGCGGGCCAGTCTATTGTAACCAATAGTCTTATGAAATAAAGTTGAAGTTTGAAACTCTCTCCTGTGTTCGTTGCGAAAATTCCGTACAAATGGTAAGCGCTGCTAGTTTCCAGGTAATCTTCCTCAAGACGATCCAGGCTATTATATGGAAACCAATTTACATACAAGCTTCAGTTCTATCCAAGCCATTGCTATAAACCAATTGTCCAGATCGCATCGCAGATGTTTCTATATGATCATGTGGATCACCTGAGCACATTTTGAGACTATGCGGGTCGATCCGGACCATAATATGGAAATCAGGCTTCAGTTTGTCGTTGTTTGGTACAACTTTTATCACGGAAAAGTTTAAACGCTTGTAGCGAATACAAGAGACCAATACAGCTGCTTGCTACTGTTTGACTTTAAAAGGAGATTGCATTTTTCTGTCGTCCACCGAGTCCCGATTTACATCACAAAACCATGGTTCGTACGATCTTGAAAAGGTCTTGAATTTTAGTGATAAAGATTGAAAACCCTGCGCAGCGAAGTTGCTTGAATTTGAATTAACTTGAATTTTAGTAGTCTTCTTGAAAGTCCTTGAATTCAGTTTACGTCCTTGTAAAGTACTTGATTTCTTTATTAGGTCTTGAAAAATCCTTGAAATTCACAACCTTGCCCACGCCAGAGTCCTTTTTCTGTAAAATTAGATTAGTTTGCCGAGGAAAATTTGGCTCATCCTGGGTGTAAGAACCTGAAAAACTCGCGGGTAAACGCATCCTCGGAGACTCAGGGGCAGTCAGTCGGGTTGGGAGAAAAGGCGGGACGAAAGTTTTCAAGTACGGGCAAAAGAGCCCCTGGATACCGACTCTCACCGAACTATTTCCCAAAATTCAAGCAGATGCCGGCTCCTGATTGGGCACAAAAAATGCTTTGTATTATTGTGCCCAATCGGAGAACAGTTTCTCCTGAGTTCTTTTCGTGAGTTGGTACACGACGGCTATTGTCTCGATCACGGCTTGTCTGGTTCATGCACCAAAGAAATGCGCACAGTCACAGGGGCGGATCCAGGATTTTTTTTAGGAGGGGGTGCACTCGTCTCTTGCTCTACTTCAACACCAATAAACCACATAGTTTTTTTTTTGGCAGAATACCAGTTGTATTAGAAAACCGCAGGTCATCTCGGGGGGGGGGCCCCCTGCACCCTCCCCCTAGATCTGCCCCTGAGTCAGGAAACTTTCAGCTTGATTTAAAATCCCCATCTGATTTCAAAATACTGTCTTCCCGAGAAGTAAAGACGCTTTTCCAAAAATACAACTTGAGCTTACAACAGGTTATCACACTTGAATCGGTAACGTCTTGCGTAAATATTAGGGAGTTTTCAAAAGATACCACAACGGCTGGCAGCCACGAAAACGTCGCATGGAAAAGTGAATTCACATTTTTTTTCAGTCCCCATCGTGATTATTCCAACTCGCTTACTTTGTCACATGCAAGCGAACTCTTCTGGATTTCTGAATTTCTATCAACCGTATCCTAGTTCAAGAAGAGAATGAATTTTGTCATTGCTTGTTTACGTCCTTCACAAAACGTGAAATTCGGCATTTTCACGGGTAGTCGTGCAGTTGACGGCAAAGAAAATGTACAAGAAAGTGTGATGCACGTGCAAAGGTTGTCGTTTTGCCTTGTAAAGCTATTGCTTATTTCACTTTCTCGTCGCCGCCGCATCTTAAACTTGTGATCCGTCAAAAACAGAATATTCTCAGGGCAAATTGAATTGCTGCCGCTGATAGCATCCCAAACGTGTTTTCGACTCATCGGTAGTTCCTTCGTTTCTGGTTAGGAAAGAAGAAAATAAAAGTTTCCCTTGCACGCACAAGCTTGGTGAACGAACCGTACAGTAGCCGTCGTGTACGAACTCACGAAAGGAACTCAGGAGAAACTCTTCGCCGATTGGGCACAATACAAAGCATTTTTTGTGCCCAATCAGGAGCCGGCATCCGCTTGAATTTTTGGACATAGTTCGGTGAGAGTCGGTACCCAGGGGCTCTTTTGCCCGTACCTGAAAACTTTCGTCCCGCCTTTTCTCCCGACCCGACTGACCGCCCCTGGGTCTCCGAGGATGGGGTAAACGTAAAAAAATTTTTGTGCATAAACAATATTGTATTTTTGTTTTTTTATTTCAAATGTTATTTCTGTACTTCAGATGCAATTGCAAGTCATACCCAGTGATTTTGCAAAGTGTTGTTGCGGAAAGTAGTATGAAATAATGTGATCAACGATGACAGAAGAAGTAAAAATCGTAAATGACTCCATGTCGTGTTGTAACCAATAGGGTGATCATAGGGGTTAAAGAATACCGATTTACGAAATTCATCTTAGTCCTTGAAAACTGTAATTTGTCCTTGAAAAATCCTTGAAATTTGTTTATCTAAAGTTGTACGAACCATGCAAAACGTATATTACCGTAAATCCTCTATTTTAAAGTCCCCTTCTCTAATAAGCCCTCCCTCTTCAGGAGAAGATAGTTCATACTAAGCCTCCCCTCTGTTTTAAGCCCCCCTCTCCTCCCCTAATTGTTATTCACTAATAAATGACCTCATGTGGACTAATTTAGACTGGTTTATTCACCCAGCTGGAATTTTGATCCTTGGCTTTATGACCGCCAACTTCTTGTACTTGAGTTTTTCCACTTTACACTCTAGTTTTTTTAACGGAGAATTGATACCATCATCTTTGTTAAATTAAATAAGCCCCCCCCCTCCCTCTCTCAAATTAGGCCCTCCGTCTCTATTAATTAAGAGGTAGTCCCCCGTCCCCTAAAATGTACTTGAAATAAACTCCCCGGGGGCTTAATAGAGGATTTAAGGGACAGGGTACAGGGATAGCAATAGGCTTGAATTAAAACAAACTCGACAGACTCGACAACAAAATGTTCATACTGAAGAGGATAGTACTATACATTACTGGCTCTGTGATTGGTTAGATGGATGGGGCCGCTCCACGTCACTACTGGGGTAAAATAAATCGCTAAGTAACAACAACCACGTCCTTGCAACCGTTATTGGTGTTGTCACGCATTGTTGGAACGTTGTGTGGCGTGACAAATAACGGCGGCCACACGTACGTTAGCTTGCGGGTAAACGTATAAAGCAAGATCTTACCGTTATTTTTCTAATGGCGAGTAAAGCGAGCCGTGAGTCTCTTTTCGCGTGCCTCTCGCACGTGACCACTCACGATGTCCTCAAATGGAAAGCTTGCTCGCAGGCTGCACGTTCGTTGCAGGGGCGGATCCAGGATTTTTTTTAGGAGGGGGTGCACTCGTCTCTGGCTCAACTTCAACACCAATAAACCCCATAGTTTTTTTTTTGGCAGAATACCAGTTGTATAAGAAAACCGCAGGTCATCTCAGGGGGGGGGTGCGCACCCCCTCCACCCTCCCCCTAGATCCGCCCCTGCGTTGAGAAGGAACTCGTGACGAAGCTCTAAGAGCGTCTTCATGAGCGAGAGATGCTAAGACTGTCACGGTCTGATCCCGAACCACTTCTTTTTTGGTCTAAAGTCCACCTGCAAAATTGCACTGCTAGTGATAGGCGTAAGTAAAAATTGTCGAAACTTTTCAAAATCGTGGAGATTTTTTCGTGGTTCATTTACACCCTAGTTCCCACGCAGCCGTTTTTGTCTCGTCACGCAACGCTCCTCTTCAGGTTAAACACGGGAGAAATGTCATAAACTGTTTCTTGGAAAGACTTTTGTGTTGTTTTTTGTTTGTTTGTTTATTTCTTCTTTTTGTTTTTGTTCCTCTTCCTCCTAGTAATGAGAACACAGGTAGCCCAAGCTTACCCTGCGAGCAGAGTCTCCTTCGATAAATCTATTTAGATAAATCTAGGAAGATCGAAGGAGACTCTGCTCGCAGGGTAGCCCAAGCTCTGTTTGAGAGTTTAATACGCGTGATACAACATTGCGTAAGTACAAACATTAACCACAAGGGACTACAAAGGACCGCAAACGAATATGCCGAAGAACATAGGATCTATTATGACCTGATCAGCAAAAATAGTAATGTAGACATATTAAATTCTGCAAGCAGAATACTGCAATGCTGATCGTACTACGTGAAAATTAACTCTGCAAGACATCAACACGACACCGAAAGAACTCAAAACAGAGCGGGATTGTAGCCATAGACAGCTGTTTCGCCCTCTTTGGGGCTCGTCAGTATGGCGTAACAACCAGAGAGCAGGCTCTGCTGAAAATTTATCCGCACACGCTGATTTTAGCCCTGACCCAGAACTCCTAACACCCACAGAATCACGTCATACCACGTGTCTTCTGGGGGGCAAGAGTCCAAGTGTCAAGTTGATGTCTCGCAGAGAAAATAAAGAGTTGGCCAAAACCAACCTAAAAAAACATGGACAAAACCATGCAAAAATTGGGCCGTAGATCTTTGATAGATCCGATATGCTGTAATTTTAGCATGGTTTTGTTCATGTTTTTTAAATCTTGCCCCGCAGAAGACACGTGGTATGACGTGATTCTGAGGGTGTTAGGAGTTCTGGGTCAGGGCTAAAATTAGCCTGTGCCAGGCTCTCAGATAGTATAGTGCGGACGTATTAAACCGAGCAAAGCGAAAATAAGACGCGCGCGACTTGGGAAAGGGGGCGGTGGCGGCGAAAAAATGGGAGAGATCAATGTGAGGATAAATTTTCATCAGAGCCTGATCTCTGGTTGTTACGCCATACTGACGAGTCCCACAGAGGGCGAAACAGCTGTCTATGGCTACAATCCCGCTCTGTTTTGAGTTCTTTCGGTGTCGTGTTGATGTCTTGCAGAGTTAATTTTCACGTAGTACGATCAGCATTGCAGTATTCTGCTTGTAGAATTTAATATGTCTACATTGCGTAATTGCGAAACGGACACAGATCATGAAGGATTTGTTTATGACTTTCTGTAATCAGGAGCCCATCCTGTAATAGATTCAAGAACACATTTATTCTCAAAAGGTCTCGATAAAAATAGAACGTCGCGAGATTTTTGTATAAACGTATTCATAGTTTTATTCACATAGCGTTTCGGAGTGTAAGGAATCGCTAAAATCGAATCGGTTCAGGAAGTAACCGCACAGAAAGCAAGAACACAAGTATAAAATGCAAAAAAAGACGTTTTTTATTCAAAATTTATGGGAATAAAAGGGAATAAATATCTTCCTGAACCTACATTGGGAATCCCATGCAAATCCCTTAGACTTACGTCTCTGGGGGTACTCCTGGGAATTCTTGGTGGTGGTGTGCCGCCCGGTTCACCAAATCCTTACCCTATTTCAGACCAAATAATGTCATTTCCGATACCCGTTTCCAGATCAGACCTCTAAAATCTATACCCGTTTTAAGGCCTGGCCTTTAGGCAGAAATTATGTCATCATTACTTATATTTCTATATATTTCGCTCTTATTCATTTGGAATTGAAACGATAATAACGTTCATACACTCCTGTAGTTCCCCCGAAAAACCATACCCGATTCCAGATCAAAATGGGCAAAGTCTATACCCGTTTTCAGACCAAAACGGGCAAAACCCCACCCGATGGGGCGGCACATACCCATATAGCTCATATAAGGGAGTATCCCCCCCCGGGGTTTACGTAATTGTGCCGCACACTGAACGTGGGTGTCCCGTGATGAAAACAGCCTTCGTGCAAGGTACGAACGTGATCGAAAGGATTCGATAAGGATGTCACATTTTTGTTAATTAATTCCCAAATCCTATCTGCAATTGAGAGGGTAGTTTTCTACGAGTCTGTCAGAGGTGCCACAAGTAAGTTTAACCAATTGTTAAAACAAATATATTGGCTCGTCTCTCGTTTGAGAGTTCCGGAAGCTTTCTTATGAAAGCTTCTCATAAATCAAGATGTAACAAATCTGCCTCTGGTAATTATAAAATTAAATGCTGAAGCGTCTTGATAAAAAGGAACTTTAACAAAAACGCGGTGACAAATTTTCATATCTAAGAAAATAAGGGAATTTAATACATAAGATTTTTAATATGCAGGTCGCCCCAGGTAAGGGATCCATACCGGATTCGAGGTATTGGACTCCGATTCTTTGTCTGTGGAACCCGGATTCTGTATAACCTTTATTTTAAGAGGGTGACACCAATTACTATGAAAAGTATTCTCCCTAGTAGCCCTCTAAAAACAAAATTGATAATAATAAATTACAACAATCATGATAAAAAGCCTATTTACAAGTAGTAATTATAATAAAAGATCTTAAAAATTCTAGTATTCTCCAAGCCTAGTGGCCCTCTAAAAACAAAATTTATAATTATATAATTACAACTATCACGATAAAAAGCCTATTTACAAATAGTGATTATAATAAAAGTTCTTAAAAATTCTAGAGATTTAAAAAATTGAGAGATGTTAAAAATGGAAGTGAATACATTGGTAAAAAAGGGAATCCATTCTACAATGGTATTAAAAAAGCACGGATTTTTTTAAAAATCAGAATAACTTTTTAACTTTAAAATTGTCCACCGTATAGCTTGAGGCGGCGTTATTAGTCAGTGTTGTCTTCATTAAGCTAAAGGAGGTGGTTCTAGGTTAAGAGCATTTAGTTCTTTAATAGTGGAATAAAAGAATAGTTAATAGTGGAATAAACGAATTATGGATTGTAATCGTTATTGGGATCCCGGGTTCCTTGAGCTGCATTCCGGATCCCAAAGCCTAAGATTCCGGATTCCACATGCAAAAGTTTCCCGGATTCTGGATGCCATTACACAAAACTCCCCAGATTCCGGAATCCAGAGTCCCTCAGGGACATGGAAATTTATCACATGCTTATCATGTGGACATTATACCATAGCGACACAGGATTAAATCAGCATTTTGAGCAAGAAAAGCTTACAATAAGTCTATATATAGTCGTTTGAGTGTGATATGGAGAAGGTTGTTTTCCTTTCCACCTATCTCTTAAATTGAGTGACAGTGTGGACATTCAAGCACGTGACGCAATGATAATAGACCCGCAGGGAAAAATCCGGCTCGTGTAACGCATTGTGGCTTGCTGTCGGGTTAGTTCTGCACCATGTACAAATCAATGGACACCACGCCACCGTTTTCGGCGAAAGAAGGTATTCTATTCCCAATTTTAACTTTTGTGCACAGAATTGAAGTATTGTTTTATGTCGCACTTTCATGCATGAAGCTTTTCAATGCTCCACAAAGCGGTGGACAAACGAGCTCTAACATGATAGCTGCATTTCTAATTTGATATTTTGTGCGTCTTGTGTATTTCATGTGACCGTATTCGACACTGATCTTTACCAAATATTGAATTTTGTTTGACATAATTTAATACGCATGTGAAGCTAAGAATCGAAGGTATAATGAAATTCATTAAGTCCCTCTTCCTCAATGCATGTCTTGAAAAGGTCAACTTGAGCATTTTCTTGTATTGTCACTCAGATGGTGCGGTTTTTAAAAAGCAAATCGTGGAATTCTCTGGTAAAATTCGCCAGTCTGTAATTCGTTGTACAAAGTTCATATTGGATTCATATTAAACTAACGAAAAATTGTTTGATTTTTGTGTAAAAATTATAGATATATTCTTAGTTTTGAATTTTTAACCTGAGGATGATTGTGCATTTTATATTTTATTTCGTGCGCTGAAGGCCAGCCAGGAGTCATAAAGCGATGTTATTTACTATTTTCAGCTCGAGTTGCGCCGCATTTTTTTCTTTTTCTTTTCTTCTTTTTTGCCGTTTCTTAAAAAATAGCCCAAGTCGATTCATAAACGTGTTCAAGAAAGTTCTGATGGAGATTGGCTTTTTATACGTATCGACCGATAAATAACTCGCTGATGAGCAAATAACTCTCGAGAAATTGCAAATACCCAGCCAATGAAACGCAAGTTTAGAACAGGCCGTCTCTGAGGGATTGTTATAAGGGATGTTGTCATTGGTCGAAAGAAGGAATGACAAAATGGCGGTGTGATCAGTAAACCCGACAACAACTTCACCGGTAGGTCGTACTTTATCTGCTTTTCTGTGGCGTATATCTGTCATATGCTTAGTTTATGTTAAACTGAAGTAGATGAGGCTTTCTTAAGGTATATTCATCTCACTGAGAACTCTGAATCTTGTCATAGATTCCATTATACAACTTGGCAATACAACCCTCGCTTTTTATAATATAATAGCCTAAGGGTGATTTGATACGACAGTGCTCAGGCGATAGTATACAGATCTTTTTGTTCGGTTGTTATTGTTTCAAAAATTGGCCCTTTCGTTTTCGTATCTCTATGACAGCGTTTGTTATTGATTGTCGTTTAGTTGTTTTGAATGGAACACTTATTAATAAACTATCAAAACTTCCTTTTTGGATGGAGTTTGTGAAACCGTTTCACAAACAAGACAGTACGGGTTTGTGGTGTCCAAATTTCAAACCTTATCATGAAGTCCCAGTTTTCAAAAGTTGTTAAATGTGTGTCGAAATTTTGTGTAATAACATTTTCTCCATTTTGCGTAATTTCTAGGGAGTTAAAGATCAATATAAAACACTGCTATTACAGCTGCTATGTTGTTGTTATGGATACTCTTGTCTCGTTAAATTATTTCTAATAATGTTTCAAGGGTTGGCCGTTTCTCACGAGTCATCACTAAGTGTTCATGGTTTTGCTGGTCGCACTGTAAGTGTTCCAAATTTGGTTCCTTCATTAAAGAATGCCAAGACTGTAATCTGTTTGAAAAACAAGTTGAAAACTCATCTTTTTAGGAAAGCTTTTTTATTTTAGTTAACGTTATGGTGAACTTAATTAGATAGGGATTTTGATTTTATCTTCTGTTTGCAAATCATTGTAAGGTGAATTGAGCTTTGTAAATGGGCTATATAAGAATGTATTATTTTATTATTAATATTATTATTAATTTTTAAAGTCAATGCTATCGGCGTCAGAGCTTGAATCGTTACGGATCAGTTTTGCTGGATCAGACTCCAGAGGGAGGGGATAAGAAGTTGAGAGGGTTGGGTGGAGGCAATTATTCTAAATATTCCTGTCAAGCGGGGGGTGGGGGTGGGGGGACTATTTGATTAATCAAGGGAGGGCTATTATTCGAGGAATGATAGGTTTAACAGTTAATTGCCAAGCAAGAAAAACTACTCAATGTCCCGGTTGACCAGACCTTACTTTTTTCGAGCCCTGCTCCCAGAGTAGTTTTCTACAGGATTTATAATTTCTAGCACCGTTTTTAATATTCATGTGGGACATATTTTTAAATTTTGTTAATCAGATTTGTTTTTGACTGTCGTATATGATTCATTGTAGGTGTCAAGAAGTCAGCTCTGAGGAAGGACATATGGAATGTTCAAAACAGTTGTTATGCGAAATACTGCTATTGAGTACATTCAAATGGGTGATATGGACGATAATGTAGAGCGTTTCGAATTCAGTGATGGTAGTTTTTTGTTTTATTTTGTTTGATAGACATTACTGTTATCACCTAACCAACTTTATTACAAAGATACCCTGATGAGAACAAGTTCATCACCTGCCAGTTACAGTCAATTGTTGCCTTGTGGGCGCTTGCTATTACTAACAAAATCCAGATCCCCGGCAAAAGCTAAGGGGCTTGACTGGAAATGACTCCCGCTGTTACGGACTCATGCTATTACGGAATTACAGACACTTTCTTGTTACCAAAGTGACAATTTTTTGGTTTTGAATCTCAATAAAGCGGACACGCTGTACTTCTGATATGACATGATTATGTATATTACAGTCTGCTGTTCATCATTTGCTAAAATACATTTCAAAAGATTTCCAGAATGTTTATTTTCACATCAGTTCCTTAAATTGTCTGTACAGTTGTCCTCACTTCTTCACTTAAGCTTGCGCTTTTTTCTTCCGGCTATTTTAGGAGAGCTCAGGCCCCATCCCAGCAGTTTCGGTACTGTTGATAAGTTTGTATAGATATTTTGGGTTACTTGCCATATAGCTCATAAATAACTGGAATCTCAAGCCACAGCCCACCACCTCTGTTAATCCTTTTCCCACAAATTATGGCCAGCCCCCCGTAATTGTCCCTCATTAAAAAGCAGGACAGATGTCTAAATGTGGTATCAGACAGTGTTTTTGATGAGAAACTGTTTAATATTACAGTTTCAGTTCACTCCATTATGTTTTGTTGTTCAACGCAAAAATTAAGGAACTGCATTGATTAATTGTGCTAGTATTCGCATAAGTAGCGCATTTAAACCTTATGAACATAGTTAATGCTATTTATGATATTATTGTATGTTAACTACACTTTTTTCTCCCACCCTGCTATTACAAACTCTCACTTTTATGGTCGTAAGACCGCAGTCCCGAGGGTGTCCACTATAACAGGAGTTGACTGTATTTGCTATGGCATTGGTTTATGTAATCTTTACTAGCTGTAGATCTGTATAATATATAAATTTAGCCAAGGCTAAGGGTGAAGCTCCTGTTAATTGCTGCGGAGCGACCAAAGGGAGCGAGCAGCAACATAATCAGGATTTAAAGGAAATATATAAAGGGGCGACGAATTCTCGAATTCATCACTTTTTACCACAATGCATTGCATTTAACCACACTTTTTACCACAATGCATTGCATTTAACCAGAGTGCATTACGCCACGAACAACTCAAATAAAAACACGGGGGAGTAGTGTATCGTTCGCTGCTCAGTTCTACAGCACGGTTAGAGGTCTTACCAAATTTTAAGACACGCAGGAGTCTTTCAGATGAGTACGATGGTTAACTTGGGAAGTGGATTTCAATTCAAGAGCCTTTGACTCTTCCAGGTGTTAAACCTGACTAGAAGATGAGCATTTGCTCTTCGACTCCACAACACGGGGGATATACAAATTCCAGCTTGCTAGAAGGTGATGTGAAAGTGAGAAAATGTCATGAAATGCTATTCTTAAGAAACTGTATGAGCTGAAAATGGATGTGATTTTGACCATTCGCTTCAAAATAACAGCGGAAATCGAGATAACAAAACATATGTTTTGTGTCCTACTTTGCAGACCAGGACGTGTATCGGCGTTTTGAAAAGCATAATTATGTTCTTTCATTCATTCATTGCCATGGAATATGCGTTCACATTGTTTTTCACTGTTAATAGCTCGGTTAATGCGGCTGGCGATCATCTTGCCGGCGGAAGTTTCATACAAAAGGAATAAAATGAAACACTTTTCCCGGAAATTACGTAATCAGCCTCTATGGTGTAGTGGTAAGGTGTAGTCGCGTCGAACCGAAGGTGCCGGGTTGGAGACGTACCGAATTATTAATTCCGACTCTCTTTTTTTTTTCCTTTTTTTGTGTTGTTGTTTTCTATAAAATAATAGCTAAATAACTGTTACTTAATAAAGTGCAACAAACAGCAAGAAAAGTATTGTGTTTCCAGAGAAAATATCGTGCACTGTATATTAAATATCTGGATAATCAATCTCAATTTCTATTATTTCCTACAATTTACTGTGGGAAAACCAGAGTTGATAACCACTTGATCATTTTCTAAACAACGTTCCCACGAGTTCTTTCTATAGACTGATAGTTATTATTCTAGTACTTTCCAACATGTAAATAGGACATTCAATGTCATTTTTGATTCTTTCAAGTCTCACTGCCTAACTAATGCCAGTATCAACAGAATGTGCCGCAGCATTACTATCTTTTAGATACCCTAGTAAATAGAAATCTACTTTAAGTTGAGCCTGCAATCAATTCAAAACTAGTAAATTGTCAGGGGAGAAAAAAAGAAACATGTAACCTGTAAAACAAAAACATGTAAACACTGGAGCCTGCAATACAGTCATGTGATACTGGTCAACAGATGGATTCCCTGTTTTAAAAGCTTTCAATTGACCACAACATGGATATGCAATATCAGGTTGCAGGCTCCCAGATTAGCTAGAAAGTTTGACATCTAACATTGGTATCCCTCTGGTGCGGATGGACGGACAAATGGGCAGATGGGCAGATGTATGGCCACATGATTTCCTGGATGGATAGATTACTTAATTTTCTTAGGAATGGGGCTTACGCACGCGTGGAGCTCTGCTATTGGTTATTATTCTGGTCGTTGTACGGGATTCAGATAGTCATTTCAAGATGAAAACGTCTGTGCATATCATGTTAATAAAGTTTCACCAGTAACATTTTTTGTTTGAATTCCTTGCACCATTCAGTCTGAAGTGAGGGTCCCCTTTACTTAGATGTTTGCCATCAGCTGTAAGTTCGATTCTAACTCTCTCTACAAATTCTCCTGAAAAAAAGTTTACAAAATTTCTAATTTCTTCTGGTGAAACCTTAAGAAATAAATAGTATTGTTCTTTAAAAGTGGTGCTGAAAGGGTTTCATTTGAATGGTCCATGTAACACCACCAGATTTCAGAAAAATGGAGAGGCGAGCAAAGACTAACAGCAACTCCACATTTAATGTCCTGATCCAGAAACTACTTGAAAAGTAAAGCTTTTTGAATTGACATGGAAGAACCATAGAGCTAATTGCCTGTACATAAAATGTTGCTGATAGTGGGGGGTTATGGTTACTTATTGAGAATGGGGATTATGGTTACGTAATTGTCATGTAATTCCCTTTCTTGTTACAATGTCTATGTTACGACAAAGAACAATAATTGTTAAGTAATTATGATAATAATATTAATGGCACAAGAGTAAGTGAAAAATTATCTGACCATTGGTCTAGGAGTGTAGGGGTTGACACAGTGTGGCCCCTCTCCTTATAATTATGCTATAAGCCTCTGCTTTTTCTAGAACTATATTCGTTCAGCCAAAACATAACATTGAAGAAAAAATGCTTATTTCATTTCTTAGAACATGTAAATCCAGACTTTATTGGCCTTTAAGGGTTTCATTGTTTTTTAGACCAGGCTAGTTTAGTTAATTGATACAGCTTGGTGATTTCAATTTAGTGACTGTGATTTTGTTATTGAGGCTCTTTGTGAAAAGACAATGGAGTTGTAATTACTTTTTTTGAATATCTAAGCTCAGCAGGGATGTACAAGAGGAGTTAAAAAGTAGATTTTTCAATTTTGTCTCTTTTATAGCAACAGACAACGATACAGCAACCTCGGACAATTCTTATGAACTAAGTGGTGAAATGGATGATGTCAACAACAGAGGAAAAGTTGGGGGGAGAAGAGACATAGCTAGCACATACTTTGATCAAAGAATACCTATACCTCGAGAAGATAGAGATGATGATGTAAGTCATTAAATATAATGAAAAGTTTTGTTTATTTATTATACCGTAGTATGCTTTAAAGGGCAAGATACATCTTCTAATCCATGAAAATAACAATTTATAAAATTAATGTCAAGTAAGGCCCTCTTCCCCTGGGTGCCAGAGGCTTTTCACACGCGGTTTCCAGTTTTGGTCAAGTTTTCAAAAATCACCTGCACAAAAAGCCTCTGGACCAGAGGGCCATCCCTTTGATAGCACCTAGCCAATGCCAACCCCACTTATACCAAAACATCCAGAATCTGGATGTTTTGCTGATTGGTTCCTTGGAGATGGCGAGTGTTTCAAAATTTAATGCTCTGATTGGATTACAATCACAATAGGTGCGTGATCGGGGCACGGGTGGTTTGAAGGTGACAAAGATCAAATCCAAACAATACAAGCACACGTCACATACGTTTTCACTTCTTGGAAGAGAATTGGAAATATCAGATGCCTCTATGAACCAGTCTGTGTACGGATGGAAGATTTAGATAAGGCAGGAGCCCATCTCTAGGATAAGGCAAAAGCCAAAGTCATTGGAACATTTGATGGCGTGGAGGAAATAAGTGCAGAACTAAGAGAGGGCATTGTGAATTATATTCAAAGAAAAGTCATATTGGTGGTCTTGCTGACCAGCTATGGAAAATCAAAATGCTGCTTGTTCCAATGAATTTTTTGTCTAGCGGGTAGATTATGCTCTGGAGGTTTCTACGTATGTACGTATTACAGGGGCGGATCCAGGATTTTTTTTAGGAGGGGGTGCACTCGTCTCTTGCTCTACTTCAACACCAATAAACCACATAGATTTTTTTTGCAGAATACCAGTTGTATTAGAAAACTGCAGGTCATCTCTGGGGGGGCTGCGCACTCCCTACACCCTCCCGCTAGATCCGCCCCTGCATTATTTTTGGCGCTTGTTTCATACTGAGAAGTCGTGGCCCTCATATTGATTTTCTATGGTTTGTTTCTGGTCGGCATGATTTGCCCTCTGATGCAATAGCATTTTCTCTGACCTCTTTTGAAACATGACGTTCTCCATTGCGGCTAAATAAACTTTTAGGTTGTTTAATTTTCTTCCAAATTTCGAAAAATGGATTGCAGCTTAAACTGAAGCTACATGAATAATGGAGAACTGCACTGTGACTCAGGCAAGATTGCTCTTTGAGCAATGATGATTTTTTAAAAACTCCAGCTTGTTTGTCTAAAGATAATGTGACTCTTTAGGCTGGAGCGCATCTTTCCTCCCTGGGAAATTACTTTTTTAGTGCTTGACAGATTAGAGACAAGGTCAAGGTCCATCTAGCACAGTAAATCAAGATGCTCTGCACCAGAGGTTTTTTCTCGCGGCCGGATGAAGCTCCTCATCGCATGCAAGAAAAAACCTCTGTTACCCTGGGTAAAGACCCTCCAACCATGCATAGTTCTTAAATTTCTGGGAGACAAACACAACTTGCATGCTTAGTTTTACCAAGAGGTGGAGGTGGAGAATGATTTTGAATGAAATTAGCTGATACATATAAGGTTTCAGTTGCTTTATATCTGTTGTAGTTATGATATTATTTCTCCTTAACAACCAAAATCTTCAAATAACAGGGATCAACAAAATAATATCCTGCACACTTTTCGAAAAAACAATTTAGGAAAATAGCCTTTATTGAGGACCTGAATACAGCCATTCAGGTCCACTGACAGCAACATGTTGTCACATCCTTGTTATAAAATGACCAACTCACATCCTAATGCTTAAACTGTTTTAATAATTAAAATTATTATTGATCAGTATTTCAAGCCACCATCTTTCTCTACATGGGCAAATAGCATTGTCTTTCTTGAGCGATGGCAAATGTATATTAAAAAAATACTGAAATCCAGAACAGATTTTACTCTGATTGTAGAATGTAAGTTGTTGCTTTAAACCTGTGATGAATGTGGGAGTTACAGGTGGTCTCAAGCGTTAGTGTTGTTCTATGTATAGTATGATGCATGCTAAAGATCTTGTTAACCCTGTAAGTCCCAATGGTGACCAACATCAATTTTCTCCTCACGATATCCCTACAATGTGAAGAGATTAGGTTATGAGAATTAATAAAATGATTACCTAAGAGAAAATGCTTTGATCTTTTATCAATTTCTCTCAACTTATTCTGTAAGGAAATGTATAGAGATCAGTTTGGAGAATTTGTATGTGGATATTGGGGCTTAAAGGACTAAAGCTCTTGCTAAGACTGAAGAGGACTACATCTAAATGACTTAAGTTTGAATACATGACATGTATGCACCCTTGTTTTGGTGCTGTTTGAGGTAGTGTATGATACGTTCTGTTTCCTCTTGCAGGGATACAAATTCAGTTTCCGTCGCTTATGGGCATTCACAGGTCCTGGATTTTTAATGAGCATAGCTTACCTTGATCCAGGGAACATTGAGTCTGATCTGCAGTCAGGAGCAGTTGCAAAATTTAAGGTAATGACATCATGTGCAGTTGAAGTCGTTGTGATCCTGCCAAAAATAGGGATATGCTTGGGTGTAATGGGAGACACCAAAAGTTGAAGGAAAGGGCATGCAACCAACTACCTTTCTGGAATGAATGATGGGTTCCACGAGAATGTGGCAGCGTTACTGTTTTCTATTTTTTCACTGTAAGACTGTAATTTGATTTCAGTACACTGACTTTTATGTTTAACAGAGATAAGTGCTTTCTATTGATAATGTTCTACAGATTAAATGCGATATTCCAGTTTCATAAGGGTTGTGGCATCTTAAACTATAGGAGTGAGGAACCATTGTTTTTTGAACTGCAACGCATTGATTCTGGACTGGGAATCATAATTTTTCATAAGATGAGTCCGAGGACTCTCTGTTAGCAAATTGTCACAAAATCACTGGTGGGTAGAAATTACTTGTGGGCTGGAAGGCTTATACAGTCAAGCGTGTCACTAATTTGTCATGATAATGAAGTAGTTTTGTTTATAATTTTATTCACAGCTGCTTTGGGTTCTTATGTGTTCAACCTTCATGGGACTTCTCATGCAGGTATAACTAATATTAACACTGTGAAAGGTGTGAATCCAAGGGTCATTTCAAAAGTAGGTTCTGTGTGATCATCTGGGTGGACGTAGTCCTGAATAGGACTGTTGTTGTTGACAGTGACTGATGTTTCGACAACCAGTGCGGTAGTTATATTCAGAACCAAAGTGAGTTGTATCACGCCAGTTTATTGTATTATACTCCGGTTATTGACCTGATGGATCAATTACATCACGATGTTATTGGTCGTCTGTCAGTTAAGCCATGGTGTTATTGGCTATGAAGACTCGTAATGTAATTGGTGCGTTTCGATCCATCTATTGTCACAGTTAAACAGTTGTCTATTGTTAGTCAGATTGTAAGTTCTCCAGTTGTTCTGTCTTAGCTAGTTTTGCTTGATTTCATCAATCAGTCGTTTGTGTGGTGCCGGTAACTGTTGAGTACGATTCAATAACGTTTGTTCTAAGTCAGTAAACCAGCTTTCTAAGTGAGTCATTGATAGTAGTCTGTAGAATACGTAATACATGTCACAGAGTCCCAGTCGATTTGATGTTTTGCCTGTAAATGGTGCCGTTTAGCAATGTGATTGTTGACGTCACCATTCTTCGTAGCTCGTTTGTGTTCGGTCATTCACGTGCTAAGGTTTCTGCCATTCTCACCAATGTAAGGAGCCTGGTAGTCGCAGCATTTGATCTTGGATACTGCTCCCTGTCTGTCCTCCGGTTTGTCTTTGTCCTAGACGTTGCCTTACAATATACGTGTTGCACACAAACCAATAACCACTTTACAACAACTACTTACTTATGTCAAGGACTACTTACTAATGTCATCGCAACGTAATTTACCAATCAGGTCACTAACCATATGAGTTTAATACCATCAACTGACGTGATACAACTCACTTTGACTCTGAAGATAACTACCGCACAGGTTGTCAAAATGTCAGTCACTGTCAACAACAACAGTTATTCAGGAATACGTTCATCCGGATGATCAAACTCAGCCTAATTTTAATATTAATATTGTTGAGAAATAAACTTACCCTCTCCCAGCACCATAACAGCCAATGGTCAGCTGTTGGTTGAAACTAAGGTAACTAAGGTTTGATTGACAGGCTACATAGTAAGGGGGATAGGGGAGCTTCTCGTGTGCCATAATCGTGTCAAATGGGAGAGAACCAATTATATCATCAGAGGGAGTTTGGATCATGTTGACAGGAAACAGGAAAGGTTATTATGTGCCACGTGACAAAGTTTTCCCTTTGATATCATTTTTACTGCTTTTAATTTTAACAAAACATTGTTGTGATCACTTGAAATAGTCCCCTGTTATTAATTTTAAAGGGTCAGGTACAGGGTGTGGGGGAAGTAGGGTTATTTTCAACACCTTTCTGTCTGTAATCTTTCATGTAAGGATTTTTATTTCTATGCACTGATCATTACTTCTTTTTAATCATCAGAGATTGTCTCTAAGACTGGGAACTGTAACGGGTAGGTCAAGACACATTGTATCACTAGGGTCCATGGATTAAGCCTTTAAGCTCCAATATCCACATGCAAATTTTCGAAACTGATCTATTTTAATAAATAGTAAGTTGAGAGAATTTGATAAAAGTTCAAAGCATTTTCCCTTAGGTGAATATTGTATTAATTCTCACAACCTATTCTCTTGATTGTGTATTGATATTGTTTGGAGAAATTTGGTGTTGGTCACTAACATGTAAAGGGTTAAACGTATTTCATGTACATGTACAGTGCTCCACCATAGTTTGTTTTCTTGTCACGCCATGGCGTTAAACATTCTGTTGCTGTTGATTTTGTTTTATTCATCTATTCCCCTGCGTAGATATGTCCCTGAGTGGAGCATACCCTACTGTAATAACAGGACTTTAAAGCCAAATTGGTGCAGCCTTTCTCTAAGGACAAAATGACAGACACTGCCTTGTGGGGAGGTTTTGAAATCACTACACCACAGTAACTGACACTCGCCTTCTACATCTGAGTGCTGTCTTTGTTTGTTTAGCAGAGCTTTGTAGGATTGTTAGTTGTAGAAGGATTTCCCTATGTCACCGATTTGTCTCTGTTTAATCTGGTAGTGAAAGATCAATAAACAAAACATGAAGAACTAAGAGAGCTGACAAATTTTTTATGCTCAGATATTCTTAAACTTGATTACTAGTACAATACTGTATACTCCTAGCATAGTTATGTTGTATTTGTTAGATTGTATACATATCACCTGTTCATTCAGTATTTCTTAACTGCAAGAAAGTGAAAGAAACTATATTTATTTATTTATTTATCTATCTCCCATGTCATCATTACGTGTCTCACTTGAATGTTTTAATCTTTGTAGGCTTTCATCTTGCCGAGGTCTGCTATCAAAAGTACCCTAAGATACCACGCATCATTCTCTGGATCATGGTTGAGATTGCAATTATCGGCAGTGACATGCAGGTATCTTTCTAAAATTCTTTGTTAATGGCACAAAATTGATTAAATAATTATTATTGTTTTCAAATAGACCATTCAAGTCTTTTTCATTTTTTGAAGTTGTTGTATGGATCAGTCAATGAGTGTCCAATGGCAGTGCTGGAAAGAGCAGTTAACTTCTCACGTTTGGTAGTGATAGGTCTGAAGCAAGCAAAAACTACGCTTCACTTCAGTTAACCTCACAGAATTTAAAATGTGCAAAATTTTGCAAACTTTTGTGTGCCCTCAATTTATCTTAAAGGCCGCAACTTATTTCTAGGGGTGTATCTGTGGTAGCTTTCAATAGGGAGCTTAAGCAAAGACGTTTCTGAGTGACGCATGTCAACCGGAAGTGAGACCTTGGTTCTTTTTATGTGCCTTGATGCTAAGAAATTTGTATTCCTAAGTTTCATTTCTCTTATAAAGACCCTTTATGTGAGAGTTTCAATCAAACCACTGCCCAATGATGCGAAAAGTCCACTTCTGGTTGACATCCATCACTCAAAAATGCTGTTGAAGTAAGCTGGCTATTATATCACTTCCACACTAAGTAACATTACTGATTTTAAAAGGCTCTTTCCAGCAGTGTTGATGTATTTTTACTAGCTTGTCCATGTCAAAATGTAAAAAAAATTGAAAGGGTCAATTACATTTAAGAATGTATGCTGTTAGTGAACAAGATCTACATTCTTGCTTACAAAATATTATAGTTAAAACAAAAATATTCTTTTGCGTCTGTAGGAAGTAATTGGTACAGCAATAGCCTTTAACCTCTTATCAAATGGAAAGTAAGTATATTAATTCAATTTGTATTACTTTGCTTGTTAAACAGGAATGATTTATTAACCGACTACTTTGCTTAAGTGGAACGTAGGTGCCTGGGATACCCAGAGGCTTCTACTGTGGCCAGCCAGCCCCTATATAGAATACTGCCCCCATGGCTGGCAAATCCCTCCAACTCAGCCATGAACCCCCATTCAAACAGTGGAAGGAAGAAAAATAAGGGGTGGGAGGAGGGGGAAGACGCTAACTGAACCACTCCACAGACCACTGCACAAACACTCAACGAAGAACTTGCAGATCCTAGCAGTGTACAAATTTACTTCGTACCATGTGAGCCTGCACTTATGGGACTGACCGTTGGATGCCCACTAAGCTCATGGGCTGCTCGACCGCTAAGCTTGTGGACCACTTTTAAAACTTGTGGGCCACTAAACTTGTGGACCACTGAACCGCTTGACCGCTAAGCTTGTGAACCACTTGACCACCAAGCTCATGAACCACTTGATTGCTAAGCTAGTGGACCACTTGACCACTAAGCTCATGGTGGTTAACTTAGTTAAATTACATTTAAAATAATTTTGCATAATATCTTAATATCTTTTTCACACCCTAGCAGGGGAAAAGTACATACTCATGTTATCAGGTCAAGGTCTCCTGCAAAACAAACATTATTCTAATGAATATTATGTATTAAAATGATTTTTTTGTTATTTTTCTTGAAATTACGTGTACACAAGTTAATCCTCACTATTGTTTCATCACTAGAATCCCTTTGTACGGTGGAGTGCTTATAACCATCACGGATACTTTCATCTTCTTATTTCTTGATAAATATGGTATGTTGTATGTCATTATTATGAAAATTTTAGTGTGCTACAATACTTAGAGTGTAGGTGACTGGTATTGTGTATGGTAATGTATATGGAATTTGTATGTGTAATGTGTACATGGATAGTGGTTCTGATTGGTTGGACAAAGCAAATTTTCTCCTCTAAATACTGTCTGCCCCTTGCCCTTCCTTTCTGATTTTGACACTCTCATGATATTATTTAACACAACTTTTGCCCCCAACAGTCCTTAGTAATCTCAAGAGTAATGCAGTTCTAGTCGAGACTGGTTCTCCGTTTTAATATCATAAATGATTGTAGAGGCTTTCTATGTCTTATACTGTAGTTTCAAATTTTTTTCCATCTTTTTTTTCTTTTTAAGGTCTTAGAAAGCTAGAGGCCTTTTTTGGGTTTTTAATATCAGTAATGGCCATAGCATTTGGATATGAGGTTTGCTGTGTTGTTTCATGTAACAGTGTGTTACATTATGCAATGTTATGTTGTGTTACGTTAGTTAGTTGCATGACTACTGTTTATTGAGTAAGCACAGGAACAATGAACAATAGCTCGCTGTCAGGTGATTTAGTCTCTTCTTTGTAATCGAAAACCATCGTTAATGGAAGTAGAATAAAGCCTTTAGAATCTCCATATTGGACTCTTGAGAGCAGTCAGTGGGGATATTTAACACAGTGTACTGTATATCTATAAATTTTTTATACTGAGCATTGTAAAATCTTGGTGAAAAATAAGAATCTACTGTAGTCTGTTAATAAATTAGTAATAAAATTATTTTAATTGCTCAGCCTCCAGAATAATAATATTTATGTCAAGCATAAAATACAATCTGCAACTTTGTTTAAAATTGTATTTTGTGTTTCTTCTTTTTTATTTCAGTATGTCAGGGTTGCCCCAAATCAGGGTGAGGTTGTTAAAGGCCTTTTTATACCTTGGTGTGAAAATTGTGATAAGGATAGTATTATGCAGGTAAAGTACATTTAAAATTAAGATTACAACCGAATGATAATTATTTTGATTTCTTGTTTAAGCACTAACATAAACTTGAGAAGCATCTTGGTACTGTTAATTGACAGTTTAATGTATCTGCTGGTGTAATAAAATTGTCAAGATGATTATTTTCATAGTGTTAGAGTTAGCCTGTGAGCAAGCTCTTGTGGGTTAGGGTGGGGCGTGGGCTTGCTGGCAGTTATATTATGTTGGAGTTTTATGTTGATTTTTAATCATATGATTGTTTTCTGATTCAAACAAGGATTTGTTATTGGCTCTCTCATTATCAGTAAACAGAATTAGGGGCAACAAAAATACAAAAATTAAATTTACTATTTTTCTTTTCGTTTCTTTTGTGGTAGGCTGTGGGAATTGTTGGAGCCGTGATCATGCCTCATAACATGTATCTACACTCAGCTTTAGTAAAGGTAGTGAATTAGTCCAGACAAAAGTTAGCATAGAAATTCCATCGTGATGACGCATCATTACCCATACCTGGGTAGTGCTTCTGATTTGTTAAAATATTTGCTTTGTCCAATCTGAAGCACTATCGAGATCTGGGTAGTGATGCATCGTCAGTATGGAATTTCCTTGCTTATTCCTCAGATGCCATTTTGTACACATGAACAAACCAAGACTGTGAAAAGTTACTTGAGTCTGTTTTGTGTCGCAATTCGAAAAAAGTTACTACAGCTCACCCAGGGTACCAGAAATTTTTTCTCCTTGGCCAAAGGATCCTTCAGGGTCAGCTGCTTGAATTTGGGAGAGTGAAAAAGCAGTTCACTATGAAGATTTGACGGAAACCAGAAACTGCTCTTAAAATGTCCCTGGTAACCAGGGTACTCCATGCACAATTTCTCCGAGAATGAGGTTTTAAAATCTAGAATTGGTTATTGAGAATCCAGTCAATCTTTTCTAAATCTCCTCGACCTGTGGCCAATGGCTAATCCTGAAACATCTAGGCATGCAGCAGAAAAAACCAAGATGGCTAGGTTCAGGGTTGCACTGAACCTTGATGAAAGGTTTCTGGAAGACAGGGTAATTATGAACAAACATGGCAGTCTATTTTGTCTTACCATGCATGAAAGATAACAGGCTTCTTTTGCTTTGTGTTTTTATGACTACCACAGTCAAGAGAGGTTGATAGAAACAACCAGAAAGCGGTAAAAGAAGCAAATATGTATTATTTTATTGAATCAGGTGAGGGTTCTTAGATACATTAAGTTTAAGTGTGATACGACTGTACAATAACATAATTTAAACAAAATAATTAACTAAATATAACTAAGAAAGTGAAGAATGGTCATTGCAGTAAATTTTCCAATTTAAGCAATTGGAAAGAAGAAGCCCATTGAAACCCTGATTTTTTTCAGGCTTCTTCTTTCCAGTTGCTTAAATTGGAAAATTTACTGCGATGATCATTCTTCACTTTCATCTACAACCGCAGTTCAAAAATGAATTATTTCATATACTTCACATTAAATATAACTAAATAGATAAATGAACAAAAGTACACTAGGTAAACAAAAGCAAAAGCAGGTTACGGAATTTCGCTGTAGATTAAAGTTTTTCTCCCAACTAAAACGTTAGATATAAATGAATGCTCTCAAGCGACCCATCTCTTAAAAAAACAGCAAAGTGTAATAGTTTCTATACTTGTATAAAATCAGAACACATTCGATAAATTGATTAAATTTATACATGAAACAACAATAACGTCTTGTCACAGTTTACCAGGGGTGGATCTAGGGGGAGGGTGCAGGGGGTGCACCCCCCCCAGCATTCTGCAAAAAAAAAACTATGTGGTTTATTAGTGTTGAAGTAGAGCAAGAGACGAGTGCACCCCCTCCTAAAGAAAATCCTGGATGCGCCCCTGTCTACTGAATATTCGTTTCTTGACTGGTCATTTTAAATTCAAAGTTACTGGAGGTCATTTGTTAGTTAAGCAATGATGCTATTGGCGATAAAAACTCTAAACACCAACATCAGGACTCAATTGACCGATCAGGTTACTTAACAGGCTCACTGATGCTACTCGACTCACCTTGACTGTAGTAAGGACTTCTGAGCTGTGGGTTGCTGATTCTTATTCACCAACAGTAATTTCCCTAACTGGGGACTAAAAATGACTACTTCCCTCGATGATCGTTAGCCTATGTAGTTGGCAGGATTAGACTGAGGAGTGCCTTTAGCAGAGGATTGAGTGATCACATGACGTTCAATTTGACTCTTCGCCCATTCATTACCTACCCTCTGCATACACTCAGTCTTGGTAGGTTGCTGGTTACTGATGGTTACTGATGGTTACTGATGTTATATTTTTGTATCACTGTTCCTGCAGCCATTGCCCTGTTTGTTTCACTCATCATCAACATATTTGTTGTTGCAGTATTTGCGGAGGTTAGTAGGCAACAAACCTTAAATGACCAATAAATGTCCAGGGCATCTATTTAATTTTAGGGGTCCAAGCAGCGGCATTTAAGGGGATTCCTTAGTATAAAAACCTAACATAGACTGTAGATGAAACTTGGTATACTGATGTAACAAGTCAAGAAGATGATAAAAAAGTAAAAAAAAGTGGGGGTCACCGTGCTCGTTTTGACGTCACAATGCTGACAAATACGGCTATTTAGGACCCTTTTACAAAAACCGCGGGCATCCCAAAACTAGACAAAAAGGAGAGATTTTTTCGATGATGCATGTGGTATCGCGTAGAATTTGACTTTAATGTATTGTTTATCCACTTATGTACCAGAAAAATGTCTTTTAATGCCCTTGTTTTTACTTTACGCTCCAAAGTAGAATTAAATTGGACACGCGCTATTCGACCCATGAGAGCTCAATCCGTAAAATTTAGTAAAACTGCCAAAAAACTGAACATAGATTTGTGCCAATTTTTTCCTCATCAAAAGAAAACACTGTCCTTGTTAAAATCATGAAATGAAAAATGGGGGTCACCGTACTCGTTTTTGCGGTAGAGCTGCAGAAAGTGCGCACCAAATGCATTTTCTCTGTTATTTGAGAGAGGACTGGGGCGAGTTTCAAAATAGAATGTATGTGTAAGGGGGAAGGAAGTATTAAAAAATCCGTTTTTACAGAATTTACATCGAGATATCACATTTAGGACACAATGTGATAAAGTAAGCGTTTAAATGAAAATCAAAGTGAGTAAGCACAAGTTAAACACCCACTATTGAGGTTCCCCAAGAGGAAGTCGAACTCAGCAACACGTGTACTGCTTAGGTTATGCACATCCCCAACACATTGAGTCTCACCTTGGCAAGAAACTACAGCAAGCAAAAAAAAGACTGAAACAGACTGCATTGATATTGTGGATTTTGCAAAAATTGTAATCCTAACAGGTTTTCAAAGTTCATTTTTCACACACAACTGGGATCCATGCCAAGCCAACCATGCAACAGTCAGTAGGGGAAGGCAACTCTGAAATGCCATGTGACCTGAAGACCCCATGCACACTCGAACCCAAACTCCCAGCCGCGTGCTAGAAAAACGTTTTCCGCTTCTTTCGTTCCTCAGCCAGCGGAAAACCACACTTTTGTTGTTTGTAAAGTTTGATATAGTGCTTGAGAGACAGAAATACATGGGATCTATTTTGCTTTCTGGGAAACTGCCCACGTACCCGTCCCCTAAGCCATCATTTTGCCCTAAGTGAAAAGTAAGTGTTAAACTTAATGTTAGTTTAGGGGAGGGGTATGTGGGTAGTTTCCCAGAAATCTAAATTGATCTCATACACGTACCTTGACCTTGCGCTTATAAGCCCATCTACCTGTTAGTCAGCTTCAAACAAGTTTTGTTTTCTCCTACGTAAAATGCTAAACGTTTTTGTGTCAGCGATGTCCTCTATGCTCGGTAACATTTTTTTTCTGCTCCTTTAGGCTTTTTATGGGAGAACTTATCGTCAGGTGGTAAGTTTTAAAACACTGTAGGTATAATTGTTTTGTTTTGTGTGCATGTTTAGAAACACAAGGGATTTCAGCTAGCAGGCGTATATGTTTTGTTTCTGTATCAGAAAATTTAGAAGAAACAGAAGATTGAGACTGATCCGTGAAACTTGCTTGAAATTAAGCTACATTGACATTAACTTTGTGATGGTGTGGTAGCAGATTCTGGTAAATGTGCTTAAGTCTGTCTTAAACAAGGAAGTCAAAACAAAAAACAAACAATACATGTTGTAACAAACATCTGCAGCAAAGGAAAACTGTATGGAATAGGTAACTGCACAGGATGTGGAATTTTACCGAATTCCAACAATGTATTGGCTTTTTGGGGATCCTGTGCAGTCACTTTTTGTTTAAAGCCTTTGTCTGTGACTGTTGCTGTTGTTTGCCATGTTATATTTTGTTTATGAGAATTTTTTATAATAATTTGAACACGCTTATTTTCTATATTTTTTAGTATGCTAACTGCATGAGAAACAATATTAGCCAAGACTCAATTTTCAATGTTGATGACATCAAAGATCCTTCTGTAAGTAGTTATTATTGGCTATGCCCACAGTTAAGGATTTGCCGAGAAATTCTCGCCTCGCAGCACTCACAGTAAAATACTAATAGTAACCAAGGGTTAGGAGTACAGGCGAGATCTAGATCAAAGGTCAAAACACTTTTGTTCTAAAACGGTGCTTTGCATAAGTTTGTGCCAGTGCAACATGGCTTTCACTCTTGATTCGCTCAGTATTTCTCATGATTTCTCCTTTGCCTTGACTGAAATGCCTTATTTCTCATGACCTGGTTGTTGTCATCCATCGCGATGTATTTTCGTCTACCCCTGCTTTGCTTTTTTGACAGCTATTTTTACATGACTGCTTAGACTTCCCATAACATGTGAAATCTTCGCCATTTTTTCCAGACCTGCCTTTCCAAAATTAGCTAAGCCACTGCGCCTTGTGTCCCTCTTTCCGTAGCAAACGTGATGCAGATTTTGTCAATGCTAACTCGTTATAAATTATAAGCCAAGGGATTTATCTCAATCGAAAATGGAGAAATATTTTGATTGAAATAGCAATTACTATTAATAATTTTACTTTTTCCTACATGGGTCCTTGAACTGGTGAGTACATACAACCTTGATTCATTTTATTATGGCATCTATCGTCACATGAATGATGTAAATGATAACTGTTAACAGTCTCCCGAACTAATATAAAATGTTATTCTATACTATTTTCAGATTTTCTGGAATTCAACCATACAGGGAGATCTATACAAAGGGGTAAAGAGTCGTATACAGGCTAATTGATTAATTTGCTATTAAGTACAATTTATTTATGATGTATTGCTGGTTTGCTCGTGATGTCACGGCAGCCATGTTGATGGTCAAGAAGAAAGCATTTCTCTCCTCTGGGAACTAACCACCATTTTCATGTAAATTCTTCAAGAAAAAAAAATTCTATTATATTGACCACCAACATGGCTGCCTTTTCACGTGGTTGCAAACCAAGAATACCTTCAGTTGAATTATGCAGCAGTCACATCAATCAACCATAATATATCCACCGGTTCTCCTAAACACTCATTGAGCCTCTGGTGAAAGACTAGGCGGAATCATTCATTTGCCCTATTCTGCACTGTCAATCACACTTCAGCATTATGTTGGACAACTTTATCTTTTGCTAATGAGTTTCAGATTTCAGACACGGGCATACAGTCTACTTCACAGCGTCTGTTTTATTTTTAGGGCGTGTTTCTTGGTTGCATGTTTGGTGCCCCAGCTCTTTATATTTGGGGAATAGGAATCTTAGCCGCTGGTCAAAGCTCTACTATGACGGTGAGAATCCCTCAGCCCTTACAGATCTAGATTATAACTGAAAACTGTGGTCTATTTCAGGGCTCAAAAATACCTTGAATTCAAGCTTGTCCTGTTGGCAAGCAGCTCTCACTTTTGCTTGCCCAGGGCCACTTCTGTTATTAATTTTGTAAGAGAATGATTTATTATTATGACTTTTAAATTATACTTGTATACTGTAATCTTTTATTGCATGTTTTTGTAATAATTTTTTATTTCCTTTTATGGATCCTTGCCCATTGGGCAAGTCAGCTTTAAAAAGTTACTTGCCAGCAGAAACATATACTACGTAGTCCAGGACTACCAGTTAGGACTTTTTTCAAGCTCTGGTATTAACTAGTCAGACTACGAGCAGTCTCACTTTTTTCTTAGTCTGACGCAAAAATGACTACGTGCATGACTGAAGGAGCAAGGTGGGAGAGGCACGACTGCCGCCCTCATTTCTCGCGTCTTGCTCGCATGCTCATGTTCTCTCCTCGCTAAATCTGAAGTAAAAAAGAGACTGCTTGCAGTCTGTCAACTAGTGGCCTCTAACCAGGATGGTAGGGGCTAGAATTGCGATTGTGTGAGTAGATGGTAATTAATGTAGCCCCACAATTTCCATGTTGATGTCCTTAATCTGTCCAGAATCTGGCCAGAATTTCTGTTAAGTTGACATAGTAATTACACTCCTTCAGTTAATGTTTATGAATGAAGACAAAAGTTCACCAAGATCAAATGGACAAGCACTGAATCTACCAAAAAAAAACCACTCACTTCGTGGGGATATATTATTTGGGTTTAATTTTTTACATAAAATATCAGGTTTTGTGCTGCTTATGGGAAATCTGGAAAGTCATGAAAGTTAGGAAAAAATATTCACATTGGTGAATACAAATTCTTTTAATGTCTTCATTTATTAATTACCTGTAGCCACGTGCAGTTGGTCGAGTTCCTATTTTAATGGACCTCTGAGGAAATTAAAAGTTACTAAAAAATTTATTTGCCTTTCTTTCTAGGGAACTTACTCTGGACAGTTTGCCATGGAGGTAACGTTTTCATTCAAGTTATGCTAATAAACTTTTGTTTCAATTGCACAATCATGGACTGACTAGAGTGCTGGACTTGTAGTTCGGAGGCCCCAAGTTCAAATTCCCTCTTAACCACTAGCTTGATTAATGCTCACATTGGAAAAAAAGTAGTTCGACGAGCTCACTAGCACGAAAGTTGGGGCTTGGGCGGCTTTAAAGGAACTACATAATTATGCAAAGAAAAAGGGGCTCGCGGCGACTTTGTTTGTTAGGTAGTTAGAAAGTAAAGGCCCCATAATGTATTCTAACCCAAGACCTGTCCTAGCTGTCTCTCCATGTTGAACACTCTTCTGTCTTAATTATGCAGGGCTTCTTGAAGATTTCTTGGGCTCGTTGGAAGCGAGTGTTGTTTACCAGGTCAATCGCCATTGGTCCCACTCTTCTTGTAGCATTTTTTGAAGGTGTTGAAGACTTGACTGGAATGAACGATTTCCTTAACGTTTTGCAGAGTTTGCAGGTGTGTTCTGATGAAGAAACATTAATTTGAAACTCTTTATCCAACACATCTTCTGTTCAGGTGTAGTTGTAATGGTGTGGTCACGTTTTTGAGCAACCACTACAAACAGTTGAACGCGCGGTGCGCAGTTATTACTCGGTTGTATGGTATTTAATTTTGTTAATCAAGACACGTTGAATAAAATAGCCCAGAATTCTTTAAAGCTATTCTTGCACGTGTCCATTTAAACAAACAGAATAAACCTTAGTCAAGGGCTATCAATATCACATGTGTTGTTACAATGCTTTTGCCTTCCCTATCCCAACCCTGCTCCAAAAACTTCCTGGTAGCAGACGCTATGTATGGCAGTCACAAGATGAGAATTTCCATGTACAATTGGACTTGAATAGAATAAAACACTAGAAGCAATGTAGAATGTGTTATCCATGTACAAGACTCTACAATGTGGTTTATAGATCATTGAGATAGCACTAAGGCGCCCAACATTGTCTAATTTTGTTGGATTGAAAGTGACTTGTTTCCTTCTATCTTTTGCAGCTGCCGTTTGCGTTAATTCCAGTGTTACAGTTTACTGGTGATCCAGCATTGATGAAATCCTTTACAAATGGAAGGTGAATACGTAGATTTCACAGTTGAAATACTTTTTTCTTTCTCAGTGTTTTGTTTGATTACCAAAAACTATATTTAGCGCAGTGCAGTCCATTTTCAAATGCTTGGAAAAGAAATTCTATGTGCAAGTAAAATTTCCACAAACAGTGAGCTGTCGGAAAGTATACTAAACAGGACAAAACAATCGAATTTTGTTTTAGAATATTCCTAGATATATAAATAGAGCTTGTAAAGGTCATCCTTGAGACAAATTTTGCAATGATAATGAGTCGCACTCTTTCAGTCAAAAAATTCAAAGAATTTTCTGAAGGCTTGCGTTTTTGTTTACAGGGTGATGCAAACTGTGGCTTGGGTGTTGTCAATATTAGTTATAGGAATTAACTTGTTCTTCGTCATTGAGTATGTGGTAAGTATTAAATTATGTATTATGCTGGAGCTCCGCTCTTAGGCATAGCTTGGCATGGCTAGTTATTTGTCAGATTATTGAAGACTAGCAGTTATTCTATTTGTTTACAGTATTATTGTATCAGTTTTGTAGTGAGTATAATCACTGAGGAAATAGTGTAAAATGCAAAATCTCTTATGTTTTGTTCTTTCTTTATTTTGTCTATAGCAACAAATACCGGTAAATGCTGGCTACTACATTCTAGTTTCAGTGATTCTGTTGTTTTATATCACATTCCTTTTGATACTGGTACGTATAAAACTCATTGGGTGAATGATAAAAGTTGGTCACAGGACAATATCTAACTGAAATGTTCCCTTGTCCAAATAAATTCTACCTGCGTCCGGACGTGATGATCGGACAATTCAAATACTTATAATTTTGTAGCTTAAGATTAGCACAGTAATTGAAAAAAATAATTAAAGGTCAACATAATGAATGTCCCAAAACTTTTCTGGTTTGTCCGAATATAACAAGACCAGGTTGGACATGTTCTTTCTAAATGACAGTCACTCAGTGATTGAGTGGCACTACGAACAGACGAACGGTCTATGACAGATCAGCTGACTCTCTGAATGTTTATAACTCTTTTACTGACTGATCGAGCAAATGGCTGAATGACTGACTGATTGGTTAATTCATCGACTGGGTGAATGATAAACTAACTCTGACTGACTGAGTTACTGACTGTAGCTGAAGAATAGGACAATTGCACGATGACGATATTTGACCACAACTACCAGAATTCATTTCGGTTTTGCGTTGTTATTTTTAAATTTATCAATCCCGCTGAGGATTAAAGAACAATAGCCTTAATTTGCACAAGAAAACAGCAAACTCAAGGTTTCTGTTAGTTGTAGTAAAGTGACGTCATGGTGCAATTGTCGTATTCTCGCCCCTTCCACAACCGTTCCCCGTTCCCTAAGTAGATTAGATACTCATTGCAGGCTAGACTTGTACACCTTAAAACTATTCAACAGCTTGCATGTGAAGCTCGCGCGCGAAAGCCAGCGCAGAGCTCGAGAACGAGCGCAAACAATGAATCCTTCGCGGATTTTGTCTCTATACGCGCGCTTGCAGTCTCTATAGAGAAAATAGCACAGGGAGCAGAGGAGTTATTGTGTCCTTGATTGCAGTTAAATTTTTCAGCTTATAGCGCGATTCGCCTTTGTTAAGTGCAGAACAGGATCGCATGTCGGTTTGATCGGCCTAGTTCATATTCGATTCTACAGTAAACCGAGGCGAATCGCGCTATTAGCTGAAGAATTTAACAGTAATCAAGGACACAAATTACTCCTCTTCTCCCTGTTTCTCCCTTTGATTCATAGTGGAGCACATGACGCTGATGTCATATGCTTCTCTAAGGGACGGACCATTAGAAAAGTTATGGGGCGGGGGGAGGGGAATTTTCGAGCCGCAGGAATTTTTTTCGTTATCAAATTCCTTGTATGAATTTTTTTTAGGCCATAGCACGAATATTTTTTAGGATTAATTGGCGTGCAAGAATTTTTTTCATTTAATTTTCCCTTGCGGGAATATTTTTTTTTGTACTTCGCCCCCCCCGATGAGTTTTCTAATGGTCCGTCCCTAATGAGAACAAGGTTGTCTATAGTGGTCGCCACAGGTTGCTAATATTGGCCCACCATTGATCTGATCTGGTCAACTTCGCCCCTAAATGAGTGCCACTTAAGTCTGAATTGAACTTTGTTTTGGTGAGGTATTCTAATAACTTGTTTTTATTTCGTTGTGTTTTAGATTTACCTAGCGCTAGGATTGACGTTCTTAGATTATTTCAAGGTATGTTAAGCCCTGCCAGTTTTGCTAAACGGGCTGTGAAGGACATCCCTTTTTCTAAAGAAAATTATACTCAGTGGTGCCTTTAGTTTTCTTTTCGAGGACTTTGCTAACGTTGTATTATTTTTGTTGTTGTTGTTGTTTTGTTGTTTTTTTTTCGCTTAAAAAGCAAGGTACACTGAGTGAAACAAACTATTTAAGTAATATAAATATTCTCGTTTGGAATTAAATCTCCTCGTAGCACACAGCTTAAACGTTTAACCTCCGGAGCAGAGGCACCGGCTCGATACCCGGTATCGCCCATATTTTCTTCGTTTCGTATTTTTTCTTTTTTATGGTTACTGGAGTATTCATAGCCAGTAAGCACATTTCCTTTCGGCGGACGCTTTTTTTAATTGTTCTTCTCTTGGTCTTTATCGACAGTGTTTACAGAGACCTAAGGAATACCTCATCCACGAAAATATTTCTAATGCTAACTCGGCGGAGGGGAACTCAGCTATGAATCCAGATTAGATGGTAGAACCTTGGAATAAGTGGTCAGTTACCAGACTCGTACCCAGTCCCCTCTCTGTTTTCACGCTGTGATTAATGGGAAGGATTTAGTGAGTTCGTGGTGCAGCAAGGGAAGGAAGGAAGAAAAACTCCCTTTTTCTCCATCCCTCCCAAGCGCCTTTGCGCGCATCAATTTTCCTTTCCATTTTCCTTTGCGTTTATAAATAAATGGTGACTGGGTACGAGTCTGGCCAGTTACCAGCACGTTTTTGGTATTGCGCCATTTAAAGAGGTTACCGAACCCATAGGCAATGGACTTTTTCACATAATTTAGAAAGAAGGCTGCCTCACGCTTTCGGATACGTAGTAGGTAATAAAGAAATAATGTATCGGGGTTAGGCCACTGAATTTTAAATCGTGTTTCTCTCATTTCGTTAACTACTTATCCAATGCCCTTTTTCGATTAACCTCGTTCCCAGGCAGGGTTGCCAATGTCAGGAAAAGTCAGGGAAAAACGACAAATTTTTGAAGGTCAGGGAAAAGTCAAGGAAAATCTTTGATGATTATTTTAATTGTTAAGAGATCAGTGAAAAGTCATGGAATTTTTTAGTTTCTGGTAAGCGGCAACCCTGGCAGGGTTATCTCCTACTCGGACTTGTTTTTCCATGTACTCGTCCGGATCTTCTCAATCGTTCAAATCGTCCCAGATGAGTTCAGACGGTCGAGACAATGATGCTAGGCAATCCAGACAATCGCAATCGCCTGGATCTGTAAAAGTGAAATCTCTTAATAAGCTTCTTTCCACATAGTCGTGCGAAATCGTTTGTCAGACTATACCTTAAATTGGCAAAGCCAAAGTCTTCTATTCACCCAATCACGGTCGCGTATTACAAACAGATCAGTCTAACGCTATACACTGGAGGTTCCATTTCAGAGAAATGACCTTAAATTGTGTAGCCCAGCCCTTTTAAATGAACTTTTTAAGAGAATTTAAAGCCGTTATACTGCTATTGCTGTTAGAGTGAAAGATAGTTGGCGGCGCGATTTATTTTTAAGAAGATTAGAAGTTACCGTAAATCTGTTGACTAAAGAAATGTTGTGGAATAAGTTAAAATAAGCTTCTAAATAAGTATTATTGGTCGAGTAAGATTTCTTTTGTGGAGCCAAGGAGCTTTCAAGAATCTTTATTTTCATTGTTATTAGCAAACACACCTGTTGTAAGGGTTTTTAAAACAACACAGATGGTGACCTCATCATGTGTACGGTAAACAGCAGAGGTGGTCTAATCTGTCGGAAAGAGACAGATAAGTAAAATCAAGCATGCAGTAATTCTCACGCGCATGTATTTCAACCTGAAAACAGTTCTTTTTGATGGTTAATCGGGGAAAATGGTCACGTGGTCATCTCTGCTGTTTACCGTATAAGGTACGAATATATCGCTGACGTCATCAATGAAAGGATTATTAGTGAAAACAAAAAGGTCTTTTGTTTTATTTTTGTTACATTTAAATAGCAAACAGATTTTTTTTGGGTTAACTGATATCTTACCTCTATCGACTCTTTCTTTACCCTGGGTACCAGTGTTGTATTTTTTCCCTCCTGTGCGACTGAGATGCTGGGTTGTGACAATGTAACATTGACCCAGGGGAGGTTTTGCGCCCAGCGGTGTTAGTGAAAACAACGGTTTGTAGGGGTTGTTCAGTCTTGCGGGCTCACAAAACCTCCCTTAGGTCGATCTTATTTTGTATTTGCCGAGATGCTGCGGGGTTGGCTGCATTCTGGTCCCCACAGCCCGTCGTTTCTTTTGGTGTCCATGACAAATCAAGCCGAGTGGCTTTGGGGAAGAAAATGGGTCGGCCGTAGGATGATGCGGCTTCGGCCAAAGCCCGAAGCTACGAGCGGCGTCGCATGAAACGTCTCTGGCACCCAGGGTACCCTTTCTTTGATGAACTTAGTCTATATTGTCTGTATACTTACCTTGTTTTGTAAAGTTATATGAATAATGCAGTACTTAGCACAGTAAGACGTTATGAATAAAATAGAATTTTTTAATATTTTGAAGAAGCACCAGCTAATCTTTTAGCCCAAGTGGGTTAGTCCACTCTTTACTTGGTCGACCCTGAGCGAAAAGCAAGAGCAGTATGCCAGTAGGAAAAGATTTGTCAAAATGCTAAAAATTTCTCACCATTTCCTCTGATATAAGCGAACTGATGAAAGTGTTATGCACTGCATGGCCGAAATTATTCCTTATATTATCTCGAAGATACCGTTTTCCCTGGCCTTCCCTGACTTTGGGAGTATGGCTCTCTCTCCCCAACAGCCAAATCCTCTTTGTGTCGTGAGGAGGCTGGGAAGAGGGAAGAAGGAAAGCGCGCGGGGGACGATGGGAAGGGGAAAGAAAGGAAGAAAGGCTTCCGCCTTTTCCCTCTTCCCATCGCCCACCGCGCGCTTACTATTTTTCACTTGTTGTTATTTTTTTTAATCGGAAAACCCAGCTGGTAGCCAAAACTGATCGAAAAAGGGCTGCAAAATTTTTCTAGTCTTCTAAGAAAAATAGAGATGGAAGTATAATTCTGTGTCATTCAAAGAATAGATAGCATTAAGGGTGTCACGGTAATAATAATATTAATATTAATAATAATAATGATGATGATAATGATGACGACGATAATATTTGTTTATTGAACGTGTAATCTTCTCTCTCAACCATCTTGTCTCTGGGCGCCGATTTCGTTTTTGTCAGTACCAAGGACAAAATGCTTAGTGCATGACCAAATGGGGCTTTAGGTGACGAAGTTCCATTCTCAAACAAGAACGCGCTTACACCGGCGGTCCGTCTCGCTTGCCCTTAGATTATATCGAGAAATGAGGAGGCGATAAATTCTACACGAAACAGGATTTACTCGCTAAAGGTTTTTTACTTCCTACTTTATCGACGTCGATACTTTTTGTTTCTGAATTGATTTAGTACGCGTGTTAGCAAGGACCGGAAATACGTCTGCGGTCGCAGGCTATACGCGTGTATAAATACACGAAAATTCAAGGGCCTCGATTCCAGAGAAATTACATCGTTGCCAGAGATCAAAAGAGTGATTTACATGGCACGTCATTTCAATCATTGCCGAAATAAACCGCTTGCTCATCACAAGACCCATTTGCATGCAATGAAAGTTTACAATACCCGACCATCGCAGTTTTGTTAATTAAGATTCTTATTTTTTTCGACCACTCAGTAGTGTTCGCTTGTTCCAAAGTAATCAACGCTTTCAAGCGATAGAATTCGTGGACCGACACGTCTCGGGAAAGCTCTAAATATAATCTGTCCTAAGCTTTCTTAGCAAAACATGCGTGGCGTCCAGCTTCGTATTCCTAGTTTCCACGGTCTCCTCAAGGAACGCCTGGCACAATGACCTTCCATTTGTGTACAAAATACGACGAAAAACGCGTTGCAGATTATGAGTCACGCTGCTTACGCAAGCGAGACTAACAAGGGGCCAAGGGCTTTGTCATGGGATGGTTTCGTTCGACTTAAAGGGACTGGATGCGGTTTCAGGCCAAACCGCTGCAGGTGAAAACGCCAGAGTCCCTACTTTGGGTACCGAAGGATTTCCCTCAAATGCCGCGGGATGCTTCGGGGTCGGTCGTAGGTCGACATGTCTTCAGCCGAAGGCAAATTTGGGAAAGGAAAACCTCGGGCTTTTCGAGCGGGTGACCACTTGATCTAAACCGCAAACCGCTTAAAACGTCTCTGGCACCAAGGGTAGAGAGCTAATGGGTAGTTAAATCTTACCAAACCAAGTTCCAGACGCGTTTTAAATTCTCGCCGCTGATACTCTCTGGCCAATCCGAAATACTTCTGGAACTGGCACGAAGATTCCCCGTTACCGTCGTAAACTTTGGCCGTAGCGATCTAACCTTTAAATATCCTGTCCCAGTAGTAGAAGCCCTGGGTCTCCGAAGATCTCGTCTTTCTAAGTGCTGACCATAAGGAAAGCGGGCTCTGCGAAAACCCAGAACAATCAAACACCTCGTTTTCACTTTTAAAAGTCGTGCCTCATTTTCACGTAACAACCATGTGATCACTACGCTCTCCATTTGCCTTGGAGGTTGTTGTTGGCTTCCGCGTCGACTTTAATATTTTACACGCGGGGTAAGTAACCTTTACATTTTATACGCAATTTTAATTAAAACTTAAAGTCACGTGGAAGTGTATGCCGCTCCGGATAAATTTACAAGCTACATGTGGAGCTGGGCCGGAATGATTCGTAAACTTAATATGGAGCTTAAGCGACGACAACGAAGACGGTGGTCTGCTGAGGAGGAGCGTTGCGTGACGACACTAAAAGACGGTGGCGAAAATGTCACTAAAAAATCAAATTGACGCAGTTTCAAAATTCGTCGCACTAATTCTGTGCCGTTCAATTTGTTAAATTTTGGTGAATCCGAACAAGAATGCGTTTGACCGGACAACCTGACCCCGTACTTGTTTCCCTTTAGTCAGGAAAGGAGCTTAGGCGCTATTCACAGGGTGAGGGTGGGGGGAGATATTCTAGCACTGGGAAGAACCTAGAAGGCGGAATATCCTATGGCGGAACATCCGCCATATATTTTCTGTATTCAGAGGAAGATCGTAAAAGATCCTAGTGCGCGAAAGATCCTAGCACCATGAAAATTGCTTTCCCTAGGGAGATAATACCCGCTATCTATACTTTCCGTCCCCTACTTGGTAACACAAGGACCTTTTTTTTCGTTTTTAACCTGCTGCCAGGTTCTTTTAATGTTATTATTATAGATTTTTTACACCAGTAGCAAAAAAAAAATAAAATAAATGAAGAAAGAATGAAGAAAAAATAAAAATAAATAAGATAAATTAACGAAAAAAAACCATATCATATAATAACGGAAAGGCGAGGAAACGAAGTATTAAAGCTACTACTATCACTACATCATTACTACGCTAAACAAAAACACAACGCACAACACACCTACATCGTTATACACTAACACTAAATACTAAACACTAGACACTAGGCAAGTGCCACCAGAAGACCACAAGGAGCTGATTTTAGCATGTTAACCCAGGTAACAAAAAATCGTCGTGGTTCCAA